AGTCAGCTTATACTCGAGTATAAACTATAAACTTCAGGACTGGTTAATTTCGGGTGGGATAATTAAAGATGAACAAGTCGGTTTTAGAGAAGGAAGATCAACGGTGGATACAGGAGGATCTGGACAGATTTGAACACAGGGCGCTATCTAACAAAATGAAATTCAATGGTGAAAAAAGTAAGATTCTACATTTAGGCAAGAAAAACAAAATGTACAGATATAGTATAGGGGGTACCTTGCTCAATAGTAGTAACTGTGAGAGGGATCTCGGAGTCCTAGTGGACAATCACCTAAATATGAGCCAGCAGTGTGCTGCAGCTGCCAAAAAAGCCAACACAGTGCTAGGCTGCATTAACAGAGGGATAGAATCAAGATCACGTGAAGTATTAATACCACTTTACAATGCCTTAGTAAGGCCACACTTGGAATACTGCATCCAGTTTTGGTCACCGTGATGTAAAAAAGATGTTGAGACTCTAGACAGAGTACAGAGAAGAGCAACAAAGATGATTAGGGGACTGAAGGCTAAAACATATAAGGAACGGTTGCTGGAATTGGGTATGTCTAGTTTAATGAAGAGAAGTACGGGATGGGGGAGCGTGATAACAGTGTTCCAATATCTCAGGGGCTGCCACAAAGAAGAGGGAGTCAAGCTATTTTCAAAGCGCCTGAAGGCAGGACGAGAAGCAATGGATGGAAACTGATCAAGGAGAGAAGCAATCTAGAACTAAGGAGAAACTTCCTGACAGTGAGAACAATTAACCAGTGGAACAACCTGCCTCTAGAAGCGGTGAATGCTCCAACACTGGAAGTTTTTAAGAAGAGACTGGACAGCCATTTGTCCGAAATGGTATAGGGTTTCCTGCCTGAGCAGGGGGTTACTATGCGCAGTTGCTGGGCATCTTGTCGGATGGGTCAGGCTGTCCTTGCCAATAGATTCAGAAAGTTACAAACAATGAAATACTTTCAGGAACAGAATTATTTAGTCAAGTGGCCCAAGCTACCTTATGAACTAGTTCTTCAAAATGTTTGAAAGACAAAATTTGCTATTACGTATAATGTATATTACATAGCTTTGAAACAATAACCTATACTTTTAATTTATACATACTTGTAAAACATATATAAATGTAATTGAATATACCACTTTTAAAATATTATTGGCATTTGCACAGTATTTCTAAAAATGCACTTTGGAATAGATTCCTATTTTATTAAAGTATGCTGGTATAAAATATGAGCAGGGCAAGAATTGAATTTAAAAACAGTAATTTTAGTAGGGATAAACTTATAAGTAGAGTATTTAGAAATAGAATATCTATTTCCTAGATTTTATTTTTAACTACCAAGTTCTATATATGGATATTTGTTCTGCACTGAAACAAAACACAAAAAGAGGCTAATCAAGTTGTGCTGCATAAACATTTACCTTTATAACGCTGCAGTAATCTGTTTATTCGAATATCCCAAAACTTCACTGTGTGATCAGAACCAGCAGAAACTATACATGTACCATCAGGATTAAAATCTACGTAGTTTGCAAAACTATAAACAAAATTAAAAATAATGGTAGTTATTGTGAAGGAATCAGGTCATCTGTTTATTTCAATGAATTCTTAAGGTATCTTTGCCACATAAGCAGTCCCATTCTGTTTTCCCAACATTTGTGTAAAATAAATAATCCTGAGATATATTAATATCTTTATTATTAAATATCTCAACTTGGATCTCCCTTGCCAAATTCTCTCATCTTGCCTGTAAGATAGCAATCAGGTATCAAAAGAGATATTCCTTTTTATGTTATCAACTTGTAGATATTTACTAAATGGAAGTAGTAATGTAGCTAGAACATGTTCTCAAGCTTAAGTCCTTCTAGATATTTTGAATTACAATTCCTACCAACCTTAATGGAAAATGGTTAAGAAAGGAACTCAAGATATGAGAAGCTGCACGAGAGCCTCCTAAATATTATATGCTATCTTGAGCATTAAATGCCAGTACAAAGCAAGTTGTATTTATGAAAAGTTGCTAATGAAAATTATCACTTTTTAAAAACTGAAATAATAGAAAAATAGAATCACAGGGCTGGAAGGGTCTTTGGACATCTTTTAGTCCACCCTCTGCCCAAGGCAGTAGTCCCTATACCATTCTGGATAAATGGTTGTCCATTTTTTCTTGAAAACCTGAAGCAATGGAGCACCCACAACCTTGGGAGGCAAGCTGTTCCATTATCTATTGAAATTATCAGTCATCCAGGTCATGGTTGTCCCAAAGATACTTTTCAAGAGAGAACTAGACTTTCTTGTTTTTCTTTAAAGACATTTCACTTCTCCTTCAAGAAGCTTCTTCAGCTCCGACCAGATGGTGAGGAATGGAAGGATTTATATTCCTTGCAGATAGCTGGTCATTTGCATTCTTTTAGAGAGTTATTGAGGCCATTTGGAGGTTTGTCTGGGTCCTCAGGGTCACCTGAATAGCGCAAATGGGTGTGGAGCTTTCTTGGAACTGCTGGAAGGACTGTGTTGTGGAGCTGTGCTTTCTGCAGGATGTTTTCTGCCCTGCAGCCTTTCACTGTTGAACACAGGCACAGGCTGTTGGGGATGAGTTTGTGTTGTTTGCATCTCAAACTGAAGCGCAAATGGTTCCTGTAGTATGCAATTTTTCTGAAAATCCGTTCATACTCCCGCACCATTCAAAGGGTGTTCATCTCAAAGTACATAGCTAAATGTCTGTGGAGATTCTCAGTCATCCAGGTCATGGTTGTCCCAAGATGCTTTTTCAGGAGACAACTGGACTTTGTTTTTCTTTGGAGATGTTTCACTTCTTATCCAAGAAGCTTTTTCAGCTCTGACTAGATCAGTGGTGGTGAACCTATGGCACGTGTGCCATAGGCGGCACTCAGAGCCCTCTCTGTGGGCACGTGCACCATGCCCCGGAGATGGCAATTGTCCCTCTTCAACCAGCTGCCCGCTAATTCGCCAAGGTCCCACGTGGCCAGATGCATCCCAGCATGGCTGGTTTCCCTCCCCCCGTCCCATCCCTCCTGGCCTCGCATGCTCTCCTTTTCCTGGGCACGACCCACTGCATTGCCTCCTCAGCTGTTGGCTGGCCATCCAACTCAGAGGTGGCTTCTCTGAACTGCTGGCGTGCTGGCGGCGGGCTGCGGAGCCCCAGAGTGTGCCGATCGAGGGGCCAGCAGGCTGTGACTGCTGATGGACACTGTCGGCCCCCATGCGCTTGCTGGCCTCTGTGTGCGGGGGCTGATGGTGTCAGGCAGTAGCCGCCCTGGCCCGTCTTGCCTTGCCCTGCCCTGCGACAATGGCATCCCCGCCCTGCCTCACCTTGCCTCATCCCGCAGGATGAGCCTCCTACCCACCACCCCACCTGCCAGAGACCCCCTGGATCTCCCCCAACCTGCCCGGCCACCACAGGCATCCCCATGAGCAACATTGAGGTGATCACGTCCACCTTGGCCACACCCACCCAGTCTGCCATGACCACCACCATCCAGTGGGCCACGCCCACCTGGCATCCAGCGATAAATAAGTGGGTTTTGGGTTCCAGTTTGGGCACTCGGTCTCTAAAAGGTTTGCCATCTCTGGACTAGATGGTGGGGAACGGAAGGATTCAACAGTGAAGGGACACAGGGCAGAAAGCACAGCTCCACAACATAGTCCTTTCAACAGTTCCAAGAAGGTTCCACACCAATTTGTGACCCTGTCTATGACCCTGAGGACACAGACAAACATCCAAGTGGCCTCAATGACTCTCTAAAATAATGCAAATGACCAGCTGTCTGCAAGGAATATATATCCTTCCATTCCCCACCATCTAAGAGATTTAGAAGCTTTTTGGATGAGAAGCAAAACGTCTTCAAAGAAAAACAATTAAGTCCAGTTGCTTCTTGAAAATGTACTTTTGGGACAAGCTGTTTCATTGGTTGTTATTAGGAATATTCTCCTTAGTTCCAGGATGAATCTCCCTCTAACAAGCATCTACCCATTGCTACTTGTCCTGCCCTCAGTTCTATGGAGAATAAATCAACCCTCTCTTCCCTGTGACAACCCTTTAAGTATTGGACGACAACTATGTCACCTCAAGCTTTCTCTGTATTAAACTAAACGTACCTAGTTCCCTTAGCTGTTCATCATACAATTTGACCTACAGACCCTTTATAATCTTTGTTGTTCTTTTCTACACTGTTTCTAGGGTCTCAGTATCTTTTTTATATTGTGACTAGAATTGGGTGCAGTATTCCACGTGTGGCCCCACTAGTGCAGTATAGAATGGTACTATCTTTCTGAATCTTGAGTTGATCTTCCAAAGTGTTGGCAATTCCCCTTGGTGTTATCTTCAAATTTGCAAACTATATTATGTGTGCATATGTATGCTCCAGAACAATTTCAACTCAGGACTGAACATAATGGAGCATTAGATGTTCTATCAGCCATAACCAAGGAAGAAAACCTGAGCCAGTCTGAAAGAGAATATGGCCACTGCATTTTTTGCTTTTTCCTTATATCTAAAGTAGGATTCCAATATTGTAGAGAGCAGAGCATTTAACAAAAGATAGCTCCACATACATTTAAGACCAACATTATAGATTTACACATATGTATATAATTAAAAATACCTTAGACAATAATATTCAAAAGTATGGAAAAATGTTCTATTTCAATGTACTTCCAATCTCAAGCCACTGAATGGGCAGGAGAAAGGAGAAGGAATTGAGGTGACCTTGTCTTGTCACCTCAATAATCTTTGTTTATGTTTATTAAGGAATAAGTAGCTGGGATGTTTGGGGCTTCCGGTTATGGGCAGTAGCGCAAATAGCTGAGGGATCGTGGGGCTCCGCACCCTATGGCCAATTCTTTTCTGTTTGGGGACCCTAAATGGACCTAAAGTCGCCCCAGGGAGGCAACAAAAAAGGTGGGAAGCCCCGTCGACCGTGCAGAGATGGCAGTCGATCCGGTCGTTTAGGGAAAGCTCTCCAGAAACCAGCAGAAGAAAAGCTAGCTTCACTTCAGAGTCTAGCCCAAGTTACAAGCAGCTGAAGCCAAAAAGCACTAATTTAAGCTTGGTCGTAAACATGTTCGGAACTGGATAAGAATATTGATTTTCTCTCTTCTACTTAATATTTGATTTCCTGGAAAAAAAGAAAAAAACCCCAAGAAGCAAAAATCCTCCGAAAGTGAGGAGGGGGATTCTTGCCCCACCCTCCCACAGAAGGAAGCGGTGAATTAAATTTTTATGGGGGACAGAAATATATTGAAATGAAATGAATATAAGACTTAAATTTGGATAAGTTTGAAATTGGTGGAATTTGTTAAGATTTTCTCTCCAAAAGATTATTGATGAAAATAGAAGAAAGTAATTGTTTGTTCTGAAAACTGAAAAAATGAACTGGTGCTGACATCTAGTGGTGGATGAAGATATATAACTGTAGGTGCTCTAATACAAGAACTGACAGAAAGCCCAGTAAAAGATAGCTTATTTTTGTGACCTTCAATGTCTTAACTAAACAGAGAACAGCTGAAACAAAAAGAAAACATTTTGGGCTATCTACAAGGCAAGAACTATAAACTTTAGGGAAAAAAATTGACCTTCCTGGACGATGTGGTTGTTAAATACTAGAAAAATATTTATATTAAATTATCTATCAAAATATTAAGAAACGTAAAAGTAGCTGAGATGTTTGATAAACAAAAAGGAATTGCTGTTGTATGGTGTTTACAGAAAGTCCTGGTCACAAGTTGGAAAAATTGAGTAACAAGGTAGCTCAATCAAAATAAAAGGAACCAGCAGTTTAGTTTTTGTGCTGGTTCAACCACTACCTGCTGATATAGCTATAATTATCAATAACATATTTTCCTTTGTTTTTAAATAAATATAACTTACCCATCATAATCTATTATATTATTAATACATATCTTGTTTCTTATATCCCAGATTTTAACAGTTTTATCTTCACTGCAAGACACTACTAATCTTCCATCTGGTGAATATCTAAAAAGAAAAAAAAAGAGAGGGGGAAAGATCTGTATATTTAGAAATAATATTTAAATGATCTTCAGTTGTAAAATTGGTGATAATACAGTATACAAGCATTAAGGAATTGACACTGAACTGGTTCATCCAACTACCATTTATGGCTATGCTGAAAATAGCTAGAGCTCATAAGTACAGCTCATAAGGACATGCTCTAGTGGAATGGGACAAATCGCCACAGCCAACTCACCATGGCCAACTCGCCTGTCAACTCGTGACAGGACAACTCACCATCATCAACTGGCCATGGGACAACTCACTGCAGGATAATTCAACAATTCAATTTAATTATTTAAAATAATTAAAAAAATATTTTAATTTTTGTCATCCACATTTTGTTTTGTCCCTCCTTTGGCATCCTTTCTTTAATGATTCTATTGCACTGTTTCTTCGATATTACTGTAACTCTTGTACTGTGGCGAGTTGGCCATGGTGAGTTGACTGTGGGGAGTTGGCTGTGGTGAATTGTCATAGTCACCTCCCTAGTCATCTCCCATTTAGACTATTGTGATGCATTTTACAGGGGGGCTACCCTTCAAGGGTATCTGGAAGCAGCAGCTGTGCAAAATGCATTGACCTGCACAATTATGTATGCTCTTAAGAGGATACATGTTAACAATTCTGCTTTGTGAGTGGTCTGCTTCAGGATCCAATTCAAAGTGCTTGTTTTGACTTTTAAAGCCCTAATATGCACCAAGGTTATCTGAGGGATTGCCTCTTCCTGATTACATTTCCCTGTCTGATCAAGTCTGGCAGGAGAAGCATGTTGCAGATTCCATCTGCAAAGGAATTCCACTTGACAGGACCTAGGAGGCAAGCCTTTTCTCACTCTCTGGGACATCATCCCTCCAGAGATTAGGTGAGCTCCAACTCTCTTCCAGAAAATCCTTAAAACGTGTTTACTTTAACAAACCTGGGGATCCCCTCGTAATAGGGAGTATGCATGTTTACTGTATTATGTGTAAGATTCACATTCTTGTGATTTTGTTTCTATCGTTATTTATTGTTTTAATCATTTTTAATTGTTTTTATAGTATGCTTTTGATTTTATGTTACCCATATGGGTGGCCATATACAGCATATGTAATAAATAAATAAATACACTTTTTGCTCACATTACCTGTTTTATTTGGGGATAACTTCAGATATTCAATATATGACAAGTAAAAGACCGTACCTATTTGTTTGTTTGCATCCAACTTTTTTCCCATGTTAGAATTCAGGGCAATGATTACAGGATTCTGAGCCCTTTCTATGTACAATCTAGGTATGCTTCAGCAAGGATGCTGCACCCGTATCTTCACTATACATTTTGAGATCATTGAGAAAAGCAATTATCTTTAGGAAGGTAATGAATTAAAAACTTACTTTGCACAACGCACCCAGTGTGTATGCTGGGATAAAGAAAACAAAAGATGTTGGCTGCAAATGCTCCACACTTTCACTGACTTGTCATTAGATGCAGTGACTAGAAACTGACTATCATTTGAGAAGTTCACACTGCGGACGGGAGCAGTATGGCCCTTTAATGATGTGGATTCACCATGGCTATAAAGAAATTAAAAAACATATGTTTTAGCAAAAACTAATCATATGAGTTTAAAATAATATAGATTCCAGCCTCAATCTATCTTGTTTAAAGTGATGCATTCCCAAAAGACCTTTATTTCATGTCTGATATGGTATGTTTCTGTGAATAGAATTCTTTCACAAATAATATAATTAATAATATTAGTATTGTATTAATTGTTTTAAGATGAGAATAAGCTTAGGCATGGTCTAACAAAATGCTATTGCTAAAAACATACAGGTAGTTGTGAACATACAACCACAATAGGGCATGGAATTTCAGTTATAAGTCACTGCTGTTGTAAGTCAAGGCACCACGTGACTGGATTAGATTTTATGACCATTTTACAATGGCTGTAGAATGAGTCAGTGTAGTCACTAAGTGAATCATCTGATTGTTAAGCAAATCCAGCATATCTAATAGGTGTTTTTTGCCATTTTCTCCAAGAGAACAGCAAAAATCATTACAAATCAGTTATGTGACTGCAGGACATTGCAATTCGTTGTAAATATGCGAGCCAGTTGCCAAGCATCGAAAATGAGATCCTATGACCATGGGGAAGGGAAAGTATGGCAGCCTTAATTTTAAGGATGGGTCTTAAGTGGCTTTTTAAAAGTTCTTTGTAATTTTGGTCATTAAGTGAAGACTACCTTTATTTCCACTCTGTTTTAACAAAGGTTAAAGTACTTATTTGTTATTCCAAAGTGTACAATTTGTGACCCTCAATAATTTCTTTGCAATTTTTAGAGATTCCTTTCCAAATATGCTGCCAAACTTTGGTAATATGGATTTCTGCAATTTTGAGGCATGCAAATATTTTTTAAAAATGTATATTGCATGCATTGACTATATTGGAAAAATGGCCTCAAAATTTCAAACAATACAAGCCTGGGCCATGGGAATTTCATCATCTTACCTCATCATCTTAAAATCCTCACCCCCACAAATATTAAACAAGTTCCCCTGCACTAAAGCCTCATACATTTTGACTTATGGGGTTAACAGAGGATATTTTTTTATTTCTTAATCCAGAAATGTATATAAAATAGATAGCTAAAAAGATATTTTCCAGAATCACTTTAGGCGTTTCTTCTTTAAATTAGCTTTTAGCTAATTTAGCTTTCCTATTAGAGAAATTGGCTAAGTCACTTTTATGTAAAATAAGTATAATTGAAACAAAATAAATGGAACCAATGCCACTTACATGCAAGGAATCCATAATCTGGCGGTTCGGTCTTCAGAAGCAGATGCCAACAGGTATCCATCTGGTGAAAACTGTACACTAGTTACAGCTTCTAAATGACCCACAAACCTGAAGGCTTTTGAATTTGGCCTCAAATTCCACATCATGAGAAACCTATCCAGAGAAGAGGTGGCTACAAAGAAGGAATTATAAAGTTTTAATACAAAAAGTAAGTTGATGTAGAAATCCGACATAGATATCAGCACATCAATTATTATTTTTCCGCTTCCGGTTTTGCCCAGTAGCCCAGCAGACAAGGGATCACAGGGCTCCACACCCTACGGATGATTTCTGCCTGTTAGGGGACCCTAAATGGGCCTAAAGTCACCCCGTAGAGGCGATAAAGAAGGAGGGAAGTCCTGCTGAGTGCGGAGAGATGGCAGTCGATCCGATCGATTTGGGAAAAGCTTTCCAGAAACCAGCAGGAGAAAGGCTAGCTTAACTTCAGAGTCTAGCCCAAGCTACAAGTAGCCGAAGCCCAAAAGCACTATTTTAAGCTGACTGTAAACAACATGCTTGGAACTGGGTAAGAACAGTGATTTTCTCTCTTCTACCTGATAATTGATTTCCTGGGGGGAAAAAACCCCAAGAAGCAAAAAGCCTCTGAAAGTGACAAGGAGGGGGATCTTTGCCCCACCCTCCTACATGCAAAAGTGGCAAATTAAACCTTTAAGTGGGGACAGAAATATACTGAAATGAAATGAATATAAGACCTAAATCTGGATAAGTTTGAAATTAGTGGAATGTGTTAAGATTTGTTTTTTAAATCATGAAAATAGAAGAAAACAATTGTTTATTTTGAAAACTGAAAAACAAACTAGTGCTCATATCTTGTGGTGGATGAAAATATAGTAGTTGCTTCAATATAGGAACTGGCAAAACCCAGGAAAAGATAACTTGTTTTTGGTGACCATTAATGTCTTAATAACAGAGAACAGCTGTGACAAAAAAAGAAAACATCTTGGGCTACCTACAAAGCAAGAATTATAAACTTTAGAAGAAGAAAAAAAATGACCTTTCTGGATTACAAATACTTATTCAACTGTGACTTTAAAGCTGTTTGCAGAGAAAGGAAAACCCTGATTTTTGACTATCATGGAAAACCAGAGATCTGCAGAAAGAATATACCAAGAAAAAACAAATACTTTCTAGGAGAAGATGTATGCTATGTTGCAACTAATTCAAACATCAATGATCTCAAACCACGAGGAAATTAAAAATAACTTTGAAAATATAAATGAATACATCTCCAATTTAACTTTACAACAAAAAACTCTCAGAAAATAAAAATAGAGAGTAAGCAGATAAAACAGACAACTGGTGAACCAGAGAAGAGAGATTTAAAGACGGAACCTAACAACAGAAGGAAGTATGACTCAACCTAGGTGGAAAAAAACTTACAGGAAATAATGGACATGGAAAAGATAACTTATACTCTAAGATCACAAAATAAGCCTGAGGACAAGAAAAAAGATTTGACAAAATGGATTACAGAACTGCCAGGAGAACTACGAGAACTTAAGAGACAAAAAATGATAAGAGAAATTAAGAGAGAGAGAAAGGGGAAAAAAAATCAATGAATATGAAGGGGCAAAACCTTCCTATAAAAACATCTCACTTGATTTGCCTTTTGTACCTACAACAAAATTCACAAGATTATGGGAAGACTCTTTAATTCAGAGAAACATATTGATCAGGAAAGATGTCTGGCAAAAAAAAAAAAGGCTAAAGTGAGAATCAAGAAATTAGATGATGGGATCTATCAGAGGGAATATTTGAAAATTAAACATCTGTTTGAATGTGGTTAAAGAAATAGAAAGATTTCGGATATAAATGGATTTTAGTTTAAGAGGGATGAGCCCCTCAAGTAATACAATATTTTTTCTTTCTTTTTTCCTTTGTGTTTTGTTTTTTGACATGAGAAATATAAAAATGTTGGGATGGTTTATATAAAGGAAATGTTTTAGATACTTAAGTGAAACTGATCTTGAGAAAAATTCCAATGGATAGAAATGTTTTGATTAGATCTAAAAGATTAGATAATTGGATTTATTAAATGGAACACTTAAAGATTAAACATATGCTTGAATATGGTGAAAAAGAAGAGAAAAATTCTGGATATAAATGTACATTAGTCTAAGAGGGATATGTATTTTAAGTAGTATACTATCTTCTTATTTCTTTCTTTTTTTTAAGATATGAGAAATGTAAAAGTGTTGGTATGGCCTATATGAGGAAAAAGACTTAAATATTTAAGTGCAATGAAAATCTTAACCAGTAAGAATGTCTTGAATATTGTGGAGAAAACAAATTTAAATAAGAATTTTAAACAGGATCTATGATAAGGCAATCAAGATGATCAGTTGGAAAAGAAGCTTTATATCAGTGGTTCTCAACCTTTTTAATGCCGCGACCCCAACCGGTCGTAAGTCGAGGACTAAACCGGTCATAAGTCGAGGACTACCCAACCGGTCGTAAGTCGAGGACTTTCCCTGCCCGGGAGCGCCGCGCTTGCGTGGTTCCGCCCCCTGCGCCGGCTGAGGCGTAGCTGGCAAGCAGCAGAGACGGAGCAGGCCGACCACCAGCTGGCCCAGCCCAAGGGAGGTAAGGCACCCACCGGAAAAGGGGGAAAAAAATAGCGGACAAAAAAAATGGTGGACAAAAAAAATGGCGGACAGCCTTGCTTGGCGACCCCCGTGAAATGGTCGATCGACCCCAAATGGGGTCCCAACCCACAGGTTGAGAACCACTGCTTTATATCAATGTGGTTATTATTTTCAGAAATATTAGAAAAATGTTTATATTAAATTGTTATTTATCCAAATAATAAGAATTGTATTAATTCAAGGTTGGCAAAAGAGAACATTTTTGAAAGAAGAGAACATCAAGCAAAGCTATTATGTGGACTATAGAATTATAGAAACTAATTGTTATTGTTTTTAAATATAAACTCAGACAACACAATGTTTACCAAATATTAAGGTGTTTATGTAAAAAAATAATAATAAAACATATTTTTTTTTAAAAAGTGTTATTTTTCCACTTGGTCTACCTATTTCCAGATTGAAAACTGATTGTCTACCCTGAAACTACTAGATTCTCAAACAATCTTGCCCAGAAACATCCCACATAATTTATAGGGCATAAAGTCCTTCCATTATTTATAATGCTTTTGATTTTGTTATTATTTTTAGTATATGATATATTTAGTTATTAGTTAGTTATAGGACCTCACAAAGGGCCAGAAGCTGCCTCTGCTGGGGACACCTTATTGGTAGCAATGGGGAGAAGATAGCAAAAGTGACTCGGGCCCTCAGGGGAGTTGCAGGGTTAGGCTATGAGTGCAGGATGGCCAAAAAGACAGAAATAATTAAGAGTGGGGATGGAGGCATGTGTGTGACAGAGAAGGAGAAGCGTGAGGTCTTTACTTAATGACTGCAACTAGGACTACTACTGGTATAACTGCCATTGCTAAGCATTTTGGTCACGTGATGTTTTGTCTAATGATTGTTCGCTTAGTGATGGAACTTCTGGTCCCAATTAGAGTCATTAAGTAAGGACTACCTGTAATATTGTTTATTTTGAAAAGAAATAGTGTCATCATCTGTCTTGCTGAATTTACATTGACAAATACCAAATGATTAAAATCTGGATATAAGAACATCATATTTAGGATGTATTATCCTAATAATTATCCTAATATAATAATTATTATATCCTAATAAATAGAAACAGGGAGATCAGGAGTTCTTGTCCAGTCTTAGGCACAAAGCCAGCTGGATGACCTTAGGCCTGTCACTTTCTCAGTCCTAGGAAGGAGGCAATGGCAAACCACCTCTGAAAATCCAGAAAATTGTAGGGACTTGTCCAAGCACTCTCTGAGAATCAGATATGAATGAACGGTTGTTTAAAAGAAAACAACTGTTACTACCTGTAGAAAACTTATACATCTGTCTAAGGCAAGACCTATCTCTTGTATCCCTTTAATTGATTCTATTGATAACTACACCATTAGAGGATAAGGTTCTACCCAGTGCTTTTTTTGAAAAAAAAAAAAAAAAAAAAGGTGCTGGAACTTACACACGTCATACAACCTGCCTTGCCTACCCTACAAGGTTCCATCCAAAAAAGGCGCCGGAACTCCATTCTGGGCGTTCTATGACAAAAAAAGCCCTGGTTCTACCTATACATTTCCATAACTGTTCTCATTCTAGAAGATATTCTGCTACATTAAGCAACATTAATATAGTTCAGTAGGTTTATTCTAGAACCTAATGAACTATATTAAGCCTACCTTCAATACCAAAGAGCTGGATACTACTTACAGATAAGAATAATCATCTATGGCAGTATATTGGCACCTCTTGCCTTGAAGTTATAATTGTCTTAAAGTATGGACTTCAGCAAGTAGCATAGTTACATTTGTTTTTAATCTATAGAGAGAATATTATGAGATCAAAGAATTAACATTTTCAGATATGCTTCAGGTGGACTTACCAAGCACTTTAGTATTTGGACTGAAAGCAACGCAAGTGACTGCATCTTTGTGACCTTTAAAATGACGAATCAAAACAGGATCTTCCTATAGTAGAGAAATATATACAAATATGTATATTCATTTTTATAATATTTAACTCTAAGGTGGATTTTTATACTATTACATTTGCTGTTTTTATATTTGTTTTTTTCAACTGTTGTATGCTGCCCAGAGTCACTTTTTGTCAAATGGGCAGTTCATAAATTTGATAAAGGACAATTATTTAAATACTAATTTGATACAGTAATATATTGTCGAAGAGTTAGTACATGAAGATGCTACAATCCATCTTTTGTTTTCAACCCTTTTCTTATATCCCACATAATGAGACCAATAGAATCCAAATGAGTAATTAGCATCTTTTGCTTTTATTCACTGTAAAAAACTAGGGGCCAACAGAATGCCCCAGAAAATCAGGACTTTCAATGCTGGCCAAATACCAAGCATTTCTCACTTTCCCAAGGTTGGGGAAAGTACTAGCAGTGCTCCTACTGATGATAAAAGATATATTGAACTCCCTCTATATGAATGGGATTGCCCTTGCTGTTTAATGGCAATTGAAACACGTGCCTATGTATTACCATATTTTATTTTCCATAGCTCCTCAAGTCTTTATTGTGTGCTGGGAGTATATGTGAAGAGTTATAAATTCCCAGCAGGGTCACCTAAGGGATGAAGGTCATTCAGCTGCCCAAATAAAGAAAGCAGGTACTTATATTGAACAGCTGCAAAATAGGAATACATTGGAGAGAGAAACAATGACAAAAGCATCCATTCGTACAGTGCAGAACAAGGTAAACCACTCCTTTACTTTACCAAGAATAGAATAGAAATGAATATGAGTAAAAATACAGGAATAAAAAATAAAATAATTAATAATACAGTGCAGGATAATGGATCCCTCATCTTAGATGGCACTCAGCATGTTATTAAAGGTAAAGCTGAAGATCTTTCGAAGTATGGGTAGTCTTCGACTTATGACCATAATTGAGTCCAACATTTTTGTTGCTAAGTGAGACATTTGTTAGATGAGTTTTGTCCCATTTTACCACCTTCCTTGCCATTGTTGTTAAATGAATCACTGAGTTGTTAGGTTAGTAACACGGTTGCTAAGTGAATCTGGCTTCCCCATTGACTTTGTTTGTCAGAAGGTTGCAAAAGGTAATCACATGACCCCAGAGCACTGAATTTTGATCATGTGACCATAGGGATGCTGCAACAGTCATAAGTGTGAAAACGGTCATAAATCACTGTTTTCAATGTAACAATCATTTTTTTTTATTGTAACTTCAAATTGTCATTGAATGGTTATAAGTGGAGGACTACCTGTACTGTCTAAAATGTGGTTAGATTAAAGCCTTTTGGACTTCTACTTGTTGACGTTACCATAGAGGAAAAGACAATCCAAATCTGCAAAGACAGAATTATAGTAGGTACAAGGAAGGTAAGGAGCATGAAAAGAGGAAAGCTCAACACAATGTAAGTTGAAATGAAACAACTACAAATTAACATTTTAGGTACCAGCAAATTGAGATGGACTGCAATCGAACACTTTTAATCAAAATATATTATTTACTACTCAGGTTATAAAAAACAAAGATGGAATTACATTTTTATCTTTGGGAAGGATATTGGCTCCAATGCAATCAGTGTTTAAATATTTTTCATTAAATATCAAAATAACATTTCTATGCTGCACTATCTGGGGAGACAGAAAGAAGTGAACTTCACAATCAGCATTAATGAGAAATAAAATATGGCTTCTATTTAAAGGAAGAGCAACTATTTTTTCCTTCTTCACCAGATATAGAAAACTGGATTGTGTAAACATAGCCCTAACATCACATAGCCAAGAATGACAAATGAGTGAGTGAGGGAGTAATATGCAACTTTTTCATGACCAACCCTACATGTGGAACTGCCAAGAAAAAAAAAAAAAGGAGGCGGCAACATGATTCCTTTTGTAGTGGTAGCTAAGGCAATTGAGCAGGAAGACAAAGTTGGAGCTGTTGGTATCTTTTGATTGCAAGCAGCATGACTGATAAAAAAACTGGAAATTAAATTTTTAAAAGATTTCTGGATTAGGATCCCGTTCTCTGCAGTTGCTTTTCCTCTACTGCACAGCAAAAATAAAATAAAAAACTAAAATCTAAAATTTCATGGTCACAGCTATACCTGACAATCATATGTTAATAGGGTTTGATAAGTGTTTTTTTCTATGATTTTTTTTAATTGGTAGTCTCTGGAGTTTTTCCACTTAAATATTTAAACTTGACATCCTTTGGAATCCCTGGTACTTTCTAAGGTTGGCTATTTGCTTGCAGACTTTTCAAGCAAAGTGCAACCAAACAACCAGGGTCAGAGAGCACCAAGGATTCCACAGTTCAATCAGAAACTACATATATTCTCTTCTATTGATATCCTTTAGCTTCCCAGGCCATAGATTGGCAACCAAAAAGGAGCCTGTAGCTCCCGTTTGATCGCTTCTCCAAATCCAGCAGCTTTTTCCTTCACAACAGCTGTTTAAACCCCCTTTTTAAAAGTACGTACCAAAAACAAACAAAAAAACACCTCAGTCCTTTATAGTCTATCTGTACGGCGTAGCCCTTTTCCCTAAAGCAGCGTTTCTCAACCTTGACAATTTTAAGGCATGTGGACTTCAACTCCCAGAATTCCACAGCCAGCATTGCTGGCTGTGGAATTCTGGGAGTTGAAGTCCACATGCCTTAAAATTGTCAAGGTTGAGAAACACTGCCCTAAAGGCTTCTCAGGGATGCTGGGGCTGAGAATTCAGGAGTTACTATTCAGTGCAACGGCACCAAGGCGGAGAAGTACTTGTCGGCTGTGTTAGCACTTCACCCCGCCCTGGCTCATCAGATCATAGTTTACTCAATTCCATATTCTGGCTTCGCAGGAAACACTGAACCAAAAAGAAATCCCCCACCCCGCCCTCAACGAGATGCGTTCAGCGTTCCTGGCTACGAAAGCAGTTCGTGGTTGATTTGTGATTCAAGGCACTGCGAAAGCACAACCGTCAATTACCAGCCATCGGCTCGGCCAAACACGTGAGCAAACAGCGAAAGCGAAAGGAAGCAATGTGGTGGAGGGGGCGAGAGACCCTTCCCACCCACAACCACCTGCGAAACGAGCAGCGCCCCACTCAAATGACTGGCCGTACCAGAGCGGACGCCATCCGGACTCCGGACAAAGGAGGAGGGGTCTTTCTTCCCTGAGCCGGTTCCAGAGCCCATCAAATCGCCCGCGCTCTAGGCCGGATCAGTCGAGCCCCGACTTTGCCTCCTGCGCTGCCGGCGAGAAGGCCTTGGAAAGGAAGCGAGTCCTTCGCCGCCTCTCCTCGAGAAGGAAAACAAGGCAGACACTGGCAGGGAGAAAAGGGCTCGCCTCTTTCAAAGCCGAGCTCGGACATCCACGCCATCGGTACTCGGCTCTCCTTAATAGGGCCCTTCCGCAGGGGGTGTCGAAGCTGGGCCTGTTGCTTAGTGACAGCGCGCGCGTGACCAGCACATCTCGCCAGTGATTGGTGGAACAGTGGGCGGGTTTCCAGGGAGGAGAGGCTGCGCTAAGAGAAAAATGGTCTCTCCTTCGCTCTGAGTAGTTTTTCTCTTGAAATTAAGCTGGAGGGGTTTTGTTATATCCCGTTTTAGTATGCGGAAAACAGACGCTTTCTTCAAGTGGAGCACCTTGAAGCTATCATCCTAATGATTCCAAGGGCAGCCCATGTTGTTATTGTGAATTGTGGTTTGCTACTGTTCTTCTTCACAATCCCTTTTCGAGTTTCCAGTCTAGCCTAGGGTTGTCTAGCGGTCTCCAGTCCAAGTCCTAAGGGAGACAGGTGCTGTTTAGCAGTATCACTGCTGGATTTCTTTATGCTGAGGAGGAGAAAGGGCTTAATTTCTCTCAAGCCTGCAAATTATAGAATAAGAACTATAGCAAACACAACTTATGTACAGGTGCTTCAATGACCTGATGAGGGTTCTTTGTACTCTGGGCTTTGTACATTTCATTGCCCAAACTAGGTAACATCAGTGCTAATGTTATTTACTGTTAGCTTGTTTGGTAGTTCCTTGTTTAGAACCAAAAAGGGAACAAAAAGAACAAAACACCTTTCCATCAGCAATCAACACTTAGATGAACATTGACTCCAAGATTAACTTCAGACCAACAATCAAGAAGTAAACAATACCTCCATCAAGAAACTGCCAAACAGCTAACAGTAAACAGCCCCAACCAAAATACCTCCAAGATCACAGGGCAAGCCACTAGAACATATAATAAGATCAAACTCCACTACTAGCATTGATGATTCTAGCTCATATTATCATTTACAGAAAAACCTATCCTAAAACCCACAAGTTACAGTTCAAAAATTACCTTGGGGAAGTAATTAAAATTTTCTCCTCTAAGTCTTGCTTTCAGGATATTTTGAAAAGGTGCCACCTAAACCAGTGGTGGTGAACCTATGGCACAGGTACCAGAGGTGGCACTTGGAGCCCTGTCTGTGGGCACACGTGCCGTTGCCCCAGCCTCGCCTCCCCCGTGACCCCCTCCTCTCCAGCAGCCCCCCTGAAGGAGAGTCGCCCGAGCATGGCTCACGCGGAGCAGCGCAGCCAAGGACATGGCAGCCAGGCAGCGTAGACAAGACTCTGCCCTCACACCCCATTGTGCACAGTTGATGCTGCAGGGCGCGGGCAGAGGGTATGACCGCCATAGCGCTGCTGGGCTGCCTGGGCGATCTGCGGCAGGCCCTGGAGGCAGTGAGTGGCCCTGCGGGCAGGTGGCATGGGGGATGGGGGGGCGGAGCAGGGGCAGGGCCAGTTTTTGGGCACTCGGTCTCTAAAAGGTTTGCCATCACTGACCTAAACAGTCTGGTTGGATTGTATAACTTGAAAACAAGAAATAAGATGTTGGAGTATAGCTCAACTATAATGTTTTGAAACAGTGAAAGAGGGACTTAATGGTTGTTTGATGCATGTAGAGCATTTGTGCAGCAAAGCAGGATACTATATTGTTTATGCTGTAAAATTCTAAGCAGAAATTGAGAAGAGACAAGTTGCCTGGAAAAGATCAATTAATGATCTCTAAGAAATAAACATTCTGATATAAAGTAGTAATACTGATAACATGGGTGAAAATTAATTAACATATTCAATTATGTTAGTAGAAGCATTATTTTATAGACAAATGTGTTCCGTTTTTCAGATTATGAAAATTAAAGCTTGATGGCAATCATGACAATCGCCTTTTTAGCCAATACACACACACATGTACACATCAAACTTTTGACTTCTGAGGAAGGAGTTGTATGACTACTCTTGCAATAGTTAAGCTTAGTGAAGTCTAAAAGGTACTAGGGCTAATGCAGCATTGACTTAATTGAAAGGGTGTTTGCTTAAAACATTTATATAACTATCCATATTAATTCTGGGAGGCTCCCAATGAACAGCTAAGCTAAAGCATCAGTAAATACAGCATAATACATTAACTGTATTAAAACAATACACAGTAAATGTTCAAATGGGCAGGAACACTAAAGGCAGCGTAATATAACTGGAGAGTCTCATGCAGGTGTTTTCAAAATCACAAAACTAAGCTAGTCCCTTACCTTACTGTTGTTAAATAAATGCAGTTGAACTACTAAACATTTATATCCTGTATACAAATGCTTTCATTTCTCTCTTCCATTATTGCCCTATTTTATAATAGTCCAGTTATGATTTTGTCATACTTTTGTATGAATAATATAGCAATAACATCAACAGTAAACAGGCCAGAAAGTTACAAAATACAAAAAATATGTTTTTATACAAAGCTTTTAACAGTATCATAATGAATCATGAAAACAATTGAAGCTGGAGAATTATTATTAATGGATCAGTTCCTGTGTCCAAGGAGACTGAATATTTTTCATACGCATTGTATTTAAACTTCACTGTAATAATATTCTTTAATTTCACAGTTACATTTATTGGAGTGCTCACTACCTTTAATGACTCAAGTGGCAAAAATGAGATGAACTACAAGTAGGATCACCCTCAATCGTAACATCAAATAGGGAGTAGTCAAGCCAAGAGTAATTTACAATGGAATGACAGCAGTTGGGCTCTAGAGGTGTAAAGGGACCCAATTCATTAGGAAAAAGAACTTTGAAATCAAACCTGGATGAAGACAATAACAAACTATTTCTGGTATACTTAGGTTGGAGGTCACTTTTCATAGAAGAGTAATAAACTTTCACAAATAGATTGGAAGTTAATACAGGAAATTTGATCACATGTGGACTTAGTATAGAAAGATGAGGCCTTGTTTTCTGATAGACATATACAGTAACAACACAATGAGAAGAATGAATCAAACAAAACTAAATTATCAAAAGTGAATATTATATTGTATATTTTAGGATTTTTGTTTTTATTATTGTAAGCATAAGGTCAAGAAAAAAAACCAACAAGAGAAACAACAGGAATGTATTACATTTAGAACATCATTTAAACTTAATTTTAAAAATATAATTTTGACCAAACAAGATAGTATTGATCTGTCTTTTCATAATAATCTGATAGTGAACACAAACACATACTGGTGATCTAGGGTTGTACTGTTTAGTCTTTCCAATTGAACATTTTTCCCCATATTTGCCAAATCTATAACTCTTTATATAAGAATAAATATTCTTGCTGGGAGTATTTATGAGTACTGTTGACATCTTAATTTGGAGAGAAATCTATATTAGAACTGATGGTTAAAACATACAAAGCACCCCCCCCCACAATTAGTATTTATAAATACTTATTAGTGATAAATCAATTTAATTGATGAAATCAATTTAATACACACATTTTAAAGAATGAATGGAACAAAGAATTGGTGATCCCCCACTTTGTGTAAACAGTAGGAACTGTCATATCTATAGCAAAAACTCCAGTAGATCTTAGGCTATGGATTAGTCAACAAAAATGGTACAGTATTTTGGATTGATTAGACCCCCATTACATTGATGTATCAAAGAAATGAGTAAATCATTGCTTTGTTGGAATTACAATGAAAGTAATGCTTCATAAACTGTTAGAAACTGGTTTTCAGTGTCCTAAAATCATATTCTGTGGAAAAGTCATTGCAGATATTAATCTGACAGGGTTTAATATTTTCAGATGTCCCTATTCTGTTGAATTACATACCTAGTATATGGAAATTGATGACTGGACAATGAAAATGTTACCTGCACCTTTCTTTTTGTTAAGAAATTCACTGGAAAAATAAATGTATGGTCCCAATTGCTCAGTGAATTAAAAAAAAATAATGGATTAAAAATCCCAATTTAAGAACAAACTACTCATAGAGGATTGTAATAGAATATGATTGTGTGCCATCAAATTATTGCCAACTCTTGGTGACCACAGGGAGATTTTCCTCTATGAGTCAACTTCTCTACATAGATTTTCTCCATGGAAATAGAATCAGGTAATCCTTTTTTAGCTACTGCCTCTTACAACAACCATTCACAATTACAGTGGTGATGGAAAAGTAACGTTGTGACAATCCTCACATTTACAACTTTTTAAAAGGTAAGATGATGTAAGATCGCAAGCACAATCATGGTTTAGTTAACATCTACTTCATTTAACAAACAAGTTGGTGCTCCCAGTGTGGTCGCTAAAGGACTTCTAGTGTAATAATAATAATTAATAATAATAATAATAATAAAGTTGGAAGGGACCTTGGAGGTCATCAAGTCCAACCCCCTGCTCAGGCAGGAAACCCTACACCATTTCAGACAAATGGCTGTCCAGTCTCTTCTTAAAAACTTCCAGTGTTGGAGCATTCACCGCTTCTGGAGGCAGGTTGTTCCATTGGTTAATTGTTCTGTCAGGAAGTTTCTCCTTAGTTCTAGGTTGCTTCTCTCCTTGATTAGTTTCCATCCGTTGCTTCTTGTCCTGCCTTCAGGCGCCTTGGAGAATAGCTTGACTCCCTCTTCTTTGTGGCAGCCCCTGAGATATTGGAACACTGCTATCATGTCCCCCCTTGTCCTTCTCTTCGTTAAACTAGACATATGAGAATATAGATTACTAATGTTATCAATCCCCTAAACTGTTGTGAATCCAGGATGGATGATAATTTTTTTTTGTAATCTATGTTAAGTTTGCTGTCAATATGTTGCATCAAAACATGTAGAAAATAAATTTGACAAATTTAATCAATTATAGTTCCACATGCCTCACTAAAGGAGAAATATTATTTAAAAAACCACCATGATTTTTCTCTTAATAGTATTAAGGCAAAAATATTGATATATGTCTTACAACGTCTTCCAGATGGGAACTTTTACTCTTGTCAGATTCACTGGTTATTACTTTTGGATACAGAAAGATGTAGCTAAACAGGCAGTTCAATCATTGTAATCTTTGGGATACCTATATTATGAAAAACATGATTCTCAGTGTTACATTTTACTATTTATATCAATGTAACATAAAATGTTAATTTATTGAGACAGACTCATGTGTTTCATACTGGCATCCTTTAATAGCAGAAATATTACATTGCTGTTATTGTTTCAATCAAGTCTGGTAACCTACTAGGTGTTTCACTTGCTTCCATTATCTTTGCTTTATATGGTCCAATTCTGTTTCAAGAGCAAAAAAAGATAATTAAGTTCTTTTGTGGTACCCATAAAACATTATATAATTCAGATGTATGGCGTCTTGCAATGTGCTTAAAAGATTATTAACTTCCCACATCCATTTTCTTACTTGAACTTTTTTTCATAAAGTCTAAACAATACATCCATATTTCAATGTCTACAGACATTCCTAATAAACAATAAATCCCAAAAACTATATTTGCAATAAAAAAATTCAAACAATTGTATCTATTTTTCAAAAAGCAAATCTTTTAATAAATATATGTTAAGTGCCTAGGGAAAAATGGGACAATTATTTCTTCTAGGAACTGAACTGTTGCTGGGGCATTTTATATAGGCATATTACTTGTATTACATTTTTTAATCCATTAAAAAATCAACTAAACTAAAAATTGAGATACCAGAAAATAATGTAGTCAAGAACAACTCTGATGTACAATTGAAAAAAAATAGTTTTGAAGTAATTAACAGTCTCTAAATACCCACTAAATTAAATTTTGACATATGAGATTGTAGTACTTTCATCAACAGGTATTATTGATTTAATTAAGGACCTTAAATGTGATTAAGCTATTTAGACATTACATTTTAGGAATAAATGAACAGGTGGACAAAAACTAACCACTTTAGATCAAATGTGATATATTGTACTACTCGAAAAATAAGATCCTACAAAGAGAATAAAACTATTAAGTTCGAATTTTTATGCAAGTTAAATTTGCTCAGAATTTGCTAAACTTACCCAGACGTCCATGGAAAGAGAACAGTCAGATTAGAAGCATGTTTCAGAAAAAGCAGAGATGGGGTAAGACAGCCTAACATAGATAACATGAGAAGAAAAGAGAATATAAGACCTATACTTTATTGAAAACAGTTACTGTATCTATTTATAGTTGTTCCTGCCAAAATGTGAAATATATTAAAGCAAATGGGTGTGCAGAAATATATTATGGTTAATTTTGGAGAGACCTTCACAATAAACAAATGACAACTGGCTTTTGTGAAACACAGTTGTTCAAGAATAGCGATGGATGTGAGAGGAAGATGCATATTATTTTTATATCAATTTATCTCAAATCTAGCAGTGGCCACATTGGAAGAGGACAGTGGAAATAAAAAGAGGTCAAAACAGTAATAGTTTGAGATATGCAGACAATGCCACTATATTAGCTGGCATTGTTTTTGGATTTAATTGTAAGAGTAAAAAAATGGGAAAATTATCCTAATATTAAATACTAATGCCAACCAATATTTTCAGTGAACTCATAGTTTATGGCAAAGAAGTGAAGATAATAGATAATGAAAGATAAGCATATATTTGGCAATAAATAAGAATAATTAAAAAGTTTTTTCAATAACTATGTATACCAGTTTAAGGTACACATTGAGAAAGTATAACCTCAAACTATAGATGTGGGGTACTAAGAATACAACATATTCAAGAACTAGTCAACTGACCCTAGGTCAAATAAAGGATAAGAACTTCCTTGAGCAAAAAAATAATAATTGGTCATTAGAAAAAGTTCTTGTACTACGTTTGTCACGGTTGAAAAAGTAGAAAGCTGAAGAAAGGGAATAGATTAGTGGTGGCAAACCTATGGCACGGGTGCCAGAGGTGGCACTCAGAGCCCTCTCTGTGAGCACGTGCGCCGTTGTCCCAGTCCTAGGCCTTCAGCTGAGTTTTATAAAACCTTTTCGCTTTAGGCCTCCGCCTCCATGTGTAAAAAAAAAAAAAGGTTCAATCAGTCAATTTCAACTTCTCGCGGGGAAAAAAAAGATCTTGCAAAGTTGGAATTGATTGATTGAACTTTTTAGTCCCACCCATTCTGCTGCAGCCACGCCCACCCAATTGGCCACACCCACCTGGCACCCGGCGATGCATAAGTGGGTTTTGGGTTGCAGTTTGGGCACTCGGTCTCTAAAAGGTTCACCATCACTGGAATAGATAGTATATTGTATGGACCAAAGAATGTATTCTCATGTGCAGTGTTTCTCAACCTTGACAATTTTAAGGCATGTGGACTTCAACTCCCAGAATTACACAGCCAGCATTGCTGGCTGTGGAATTCTGGGAGTTGAAGTCCACATGCTTTAAAATTGTCAAGGTTGAGAAACACTGCTCATGTGTATTCTCACAAGAAATACGGTTTGATTATTGGAGACAGGTTAAGATAATGTACCATTTGTGCAGTTTCCAGAACAAATTAGCACATAGGCATGAAACATGTTTTTGAAAGATTTTATATACTAATTTTCAAGCTTTCTTTTCTGCTTTAAAAAATGGTGCTTCTGAGGTATTATCTCCTGTATCAAAAAGTGGAAGCCTATGTACTGAATGATTGAGTAGCAAAAGCAAAAAATAGATGTAGAAATACATGAATTCAGCATACCACACAATGGGAATGTTCAGCAAAATGTATTGTTTAGAAACAAAACTACACATATTTGTGAAATACATGCCTTAAAATTAATGATAAAATGCCACCAGTACATAAAATGACACACATACAACATCCAAATCAAACAGAAACAAAATTATGTTTAGGGCTATTTCTTTTCTCTCTGCATCTTACTGCCTTAAAATGGCATACAGCTTTCAATGTTTACTTATGTACCCAAGGAAGATTTAGATGCAGGTTGAAAAATTCATTTTGGTACTATTATTGTTCATAATATTTCTAAGCCATTGTGATATATAGGCCATTATTTCCAGCAGAGTGTGTGTATGAGAAAGAGTACAAATTGTTTGACATAACCTAAGACTGATTCCTTTGTACATGATACATGTTCAAGAGGGGCAAGTCTTAGATCATGACACCTCCATTGTCTTACTAGTTCATGCCTTGCAGATGTTGCTGATTTATACAGCTTTCCCTCAGATTTAATCAAGTACTCTAAATAATAACAAATACTCATTATGCAGTGAATCAATTCATGCTTTCAAACAGCTGTGTATAGCACTTACAATTAACAGGAATAAATGCTTCAGAGCCCACAAATCCTTTGGTGGTCAAAATACCAGTGATAGCATAACTGAAGTTCCACACCTTTTGCATGTTGATGTTGTACATACTATATATAGAAAGAAATGGGACTTTGATAGCACTGCCACAACTAATTTTGTTGATAATCGTCCCTGCCCCACAGGAATTGCTGCATGGTCCACTGATGGGCCATATCTGCAACTTTCTGAAGCAGCTGCACTTTTAGCAGAGAAACCTTGTGCCTAATGGCACTTCATTTTCAGCCAAGTCAATGCTGATTTTTTTCCCAGACTTAAGTAAAATAATCTTTTGTTTCACAATCTTCCGTTTCAAAAACATTTCAACCTAGAAACAAGCATTAGATTATAAATAATCATTTCAGTATACATGTAATCACATCTGTATATGAAAATATATAGGGTGAACATTTTAATTTGTGAACATTTGTATGCCAGTGTCAGGGTTTTATATGGTTTATAATAATACAATAAAACAATTCTAAAATATTCATAAACCCAAATTATTAAAATCAATTAATAATAAAATTATTAATAAACAATTACATCAGACAGATGACATCCCTTTAGAGGGCCGTTTTCATCACAAAATTTGTGCACCAAATAGACATAAAAAGAAACTATACTGTAAGCATCAGATTAATGTACAAGTGAGAATAGGATGCAATTATTAGTTATTCATAAAATGTGGTGGAGCGGAGTGTCCAAAGTAAGAATTGTAATAATAATTCCAAAGGCAGTTAAGTTCTACAGGCCTAAATATCAACTCCATTTTACCATAAAGATTTAAATCTAATCCAATATTTTCCTTTTTGCAATCGCAGTTATCAAAGGAAAGTTACTAAGATGATGATACATTGTCATGTTGAATTTCATTTAACTTAAATTACATGTTATATTGGCATAGAAATACACAATAGTAGATTGTACTTCTATGGGATTAAAAATCAAAACACAAAGGATGAGAGTTATGGCCAAAATCTAAAAAAACTTTGCAACTAATTTTCTTATCACTAACTTCCATGTCATGTAGAAAGTGACACAATGCCTACAACTGAACCATCATTTTTATGCTAAATTCTAAAGCAGTTAGATTCTGGGTTGAAAACTAAACAACTAATTGTAAATGGTTCTGCCAATTCCCCTTGTGTATTTCCATTTCCCTATTTTATGCTATAAAAAACATAGAAATTCTTCATGTTATTTCAAAAGAACAAAGTGGATTCAAACACAACAAAATGGAAAGCTATCAGATTGTTGCTTCATCTTGGAGTAGTATACATTGCTGCTGTATCAATATATGCAATCAGTTTAGATTATTATCTAATATTGAGTCTATTCTGTTATTGATTTTTGCAAGGTTAATTTGTTTTGAATATTAATTTGGTTTGAATCCATACATTTAACTAAATTTAATTCAAATAATATTTCAAATTGAAATCCTAATGAGATACATATCACAAAGTAGAAGGTCAGATACAGAACAGGCTATATATTCAGAATAAAATTATGTATTTCAAGTAAAATATTTTCAGAGATTTCAGTCCCCATCCAGAGACAGATAAACAGCATATTTATTTATTTAAGTTACATCAAGCAAAATGAAAGTAAGCCTTACAACCCGGAAAAGCAATGTGGGGTCAGTAATTGAGAAGCAGTAATAACTACTTTAATAAATAATGAAATTATGTTGCTTTCATAGTAGTAAAATTATAGAACAAATATCCTTGGTATTAGATTACACTTACTATTAAGACTCAATGTACTGCAGTCAACAGGATTGAAAAAGTTAATTTGTGAGTAAATTAAATTTCTCCTTGAGGTATGACCTGTAGAATTAACTCTAGAGTTTGGACATTCAAATAATGATTATTACCATTAAAAGAAAAATCTTTCCAAATAACAAGTTTTAAAAATAACAACTATAATGAATCATACACAGCTGAGATAGTTTGAACAATTACATCTCATTCTTCAATGTGTGTTGCAGTTACATCATTCTCCCAGTTACATAAATACTACCTTTCCAAACCATACTTCTTATCCACTTACAAAATAAGAATCTGAAAATAATTACTATATAAAGTATCAGCATAAATAGTATCTTCTCTAAATAGGATAAAGGACAAACCAACTAGAAAATGAATGATTGATATTTGGATACAATATGCAAAATCTTATGTAGTGTCCAATGAAAGGACAATTAACCATTATCAAATCCCTGTATATTTTACTTGAAAACTGAATTATAAAATCTAGCTGTAATATTACACGGGTTTCAAATTGCTTCCCCAGAAGACAAGCTAATGCTCACAGATGTGACTATCATATTCTTGAGGTGCTTAAATACTATATACTAAATTTAAAATGCATTCATTCTCTTCTTCCTTTGTTAGCTCAGTTCCCTGACAAGTTAATGTCTGGTTTAGCAGCAGACATATTCCAGGTTCTCTTATGAGGAATATACATCTCTTTGCAAAAAAAATTATAAGAAGATCATTCTGAAGAGTAGAAAATTATTCTGTCATGATTGAGAAAATATAAGATATTATCACAGAGGATCTTGTTTCTGCTTACCTGCGCTATATTTTCAGTAAGTTATTTATCCTTACTCTATGGGCTATATTGGCAAAAAGAAAAAAAAATATCCCAAATCATTAGAAATCAAAAATTAAAATTAGACACTGATAATAAACACAAAAAGAAAAATGGACACTTTCTATTATTGGTTAAGAAAAACAAATTGTCAAAGATAGGCATACAGGAGAACATACTTTTATTCATATTTTTTTTTAGAGTGGAAAAAGTTTCTATGGTGATTTATTTCTCTCTCTCACTCTTGTGAATGAGGATTGGACTGTGCAGTGCTTCAGATCAGATCAGCAATAAGGGTTTTGGAACTTGCAGGAATGCAAAGAAAATCTGTCTACAACTTTTTTTTTCTTGGACTGCATGGCAGCTTTAAAGTGTTACACATAGATGTTGTATTCATACTTCCACGTATTCCAGAGCACCTCTTCTGCATAAAATCAGAAACAGTCCACAGTCTTTGTTCTTTAGCATCTAGTGAAGCCACCAAAACCTAATATTTGTAAAAATGCTGGATTCTGTAAAAAACATTGCCGCATATTTATTTTATCAAAAGGGGTGATTTATTTTAACTCAAATGAATTTCAAAGCAGTGTATGGTAACTATTCATAACTTTCCAAATACCAATAGCCTTCATGCTATAAAGATATTTAGGTCAGAAAAATAAACAGCTCCACTCACAGTTCACCAAGCTATTGTTTCTAGACAAAAACAAAAAGGACTAAGGTTCTGATGTATTTTGATTTAATCCATTTTGCCTGAGATAACAGAAGTATTTCAAGCAAGTTCCATCATAGGTCCTGCATTAAACAATCCTCTATTAAATTCTGAACATGTTCAGCAAGTTCTGAATTTTTAAAATTTTTACAATTGTTTCAAAACCATTAAATAGTAAATGTTTAAGAAACTAATTAGGACAGAGGCCATAACTTCATTAGAACACCATTGCTCATGTTTTTACAAAGCATTAGTGTTATCTATTTGGCTATTAGTAGTAGCAATTTTATCTACAATATTTAACAAAGTAAATTGCAGGCAAATTTTTAGTACAGTTTCAATAGAAACACCCTTTCCTGAAAATACAGCAGTATTTGATGGACTAATTTTTTCTACATCATTTATAAGGAAACTTCCCATGTCTGAACAGGAACAAAAAAGTATCTACAAACCTTGTAAACAGATCTGCATTATTTATAAACATAAATAATTATTAACAGCCAACAGCAGAAATGAAAATTATAAATTTGGTGATCCTGGGCTCTTCTGCCCAATCCAGCCCTCTCCTCAAAGGAATTAAGAACATAAGTTCTGGTAAGACATTCTTATGGGCCATTCTTAAGTACAGCTAATGATCCACAGGACACATAAGCAAGTTACTGTTTATCTGTCAGAGTTCATTATTACTCCCACTTTCCCCTCCCCAGAAAAGCACCCTGAAGTCTGGCAGAAAGCTTCTTTTTAAAAAAATAAATCTACATTCGTACAATTTTATCTTCTTGTTGAAGTCCGAGACAAGAATACCATCTTGTCCATCATAATGAGGGAAAAAGCCCAGTTTCAGTATGTTTCTTTAAATGCAGCTAGTGTGTTAACATTCAGCATACAATCAGAGTGATGTTTCCAAACTATGCAGTGGGCTCCCTGGGGATGAAGAGGTAGCAGACTTACTCAAGTCTGTCGTAAGATGAATTCCACTATTAACCGCATTGTTATTTTTGTTGGGTGACAGTGGAAGAGGAGTTGAGTTGCGTTTTGTTGGAGCATCATCTTCAGCATCAGTATCATCAATAAGTGGAATATGAGTTTCAGAATCTTCTATTCTAAACTCAGGATGAGTCATAAAATTGTGGATTGAACTTCGGGATTCAGGTTTTTCCAATCCTTCATATAAGGAACTACGAAATGCATTCACCACTCGGATCTGCAAGTATGAAAAGCATAAGTGTTACTGTTTAATAATATTTCCTTGGGAGAACGTTGTTTTATGAGTTTGAATCCACAAATAGGTAAGACGAGTGAATTGAATTTATACAATGCAGTGGAACTTGCAATAAACTGTAAAAAAATAAATAAAAATGAAGAGCATTTCAGAAGAGCACTATCAGGCTATAGCAGAAATAAATGTAAAAAAATTGGTTCAAAATGTCTAGCTACAAAATGGAAGCTATCAACTTTTATAACTAATATGAAATGGTGAAAAAATTAAGCCAATTGATAAATTCTACTCCATTTTAAACACATAGAAGAAATACTAGACTTCTAGAATATGGAATTATATACTACTGGCAGGGCTTCAAGAATTTGTAAAAGGTTTTTTAAAAGAAATGCTGGGAACTGTGATTTGAGCTATGAAAAGTTCAGTATAATACAAGCTTGTTCAAGCTTGCTGGATTTAATCTAAATATTTGAGTATATGTCACATAAAAATAATTTCATAGAAATGGGTGCCATAATTTGTAGGAACAAGAAATGTATGATAAAATGGCCCATATGAAACAATGCAAATATTTCAGCCATATTATGTATATATGCTCAAATGACAAAAATATGAGCGGAGTCATGATTATGGAAACATATTTTAAATACTTTTTGATATGTTTTTAGCCTTTTGTTTCAAATATCTTAATTACCATTTTTTATATACAGTAAATTCTAGATCATCACTAGAAAATAAATATTTCTCATCAAGGTTGTTAAAATTAATGGTGTGCACATGCCTAGCTAAACATTTTTATTTATTGGGTTCTTGGGTTTTTTTTAAGGTTGCTTCTCTTTCTATAGACCAGGCATGTCAAATTGCCAGCCCGTGGGCCGGATGCATCATACTGAAACCACGCCCATCACATTGCCGGCAATGGGGAAAAAGTCACGATACGTTGCGCGATGTCATGTGACATCGCGAGTTTGACATGCCTGCTATAGACATTGCATTACCAAGCTAAGTAACCGATGATGTCATCTAGCTTGATAATGAAATAAAAAGAGACAGCTGTTTTTGGAAGCAGGTATTTGCTCAATTAAGACTTCCCATATCCTGCAGATGCCAATACAGTTAATGCTGAAGTGCTGTAGATATAAACAACTCTAGTTCTTTTTCCAACCTCACTCTAAAGCTTATCCCTGTTCAAAACGTCTCCGTTTTGTCTCCCAAACTGTGATAGTAGAGAGGTAATTGAAGTAAATTGTGAGGCATTTCAAACTATTGCTTTAAGTAATTGATGAACAGTAAGAAAGATGCTTTTTACAAATATTAATGGAAAGGTCCTATAAGCACAGGACATTTCCATTAATATTCAGGTTGAAATAAGTAAGGTAAGGAAGTTAACAACACAATTAATAATGGAGAAAACAGGAATATGAATAAAAGGGAAAATGGCTTTTATCATCCATAATAAGCAATTCAGAATAGACCTCATGTTTACAATTTCAATACTATGAAACCCAACATATGATCAACTTACATTCAGAATATTTAACTTGAGTCTGGTATTATATCCATTATATTTTTTGCGTTTCTACTATTTCAGATGGAACTTTAAATTATGATCCACTGATATTAAAGTCTCTTTTGGGAAATAATGTCTATCAAAAGCCCCCATTAGAAACTGGATAGAACAGACCTACTTCTTAATTTCTATCTCTATGGTTCTTTTTCATTTGTGCCATGAATGTAAACTCTTTATAGAATGGCACATTTATGTATGTGTATTTTTTCCATAGCTAAAGATTGTTAATTCCACTCAGGCATTACATGGAATGGTCACCATCCGGCATTCTGCATAACATGCCTGCCAGTGAAGATTTTCTTACCTGTAAACATCACCACTGAATATGTGGATGTCTGCAAAAGGCCAATGTCATTTCAGTGACATTGTTGGGAGAGTTGAACAAGGCTTTTATTAACACACATAAAACAATTTTTTTACATATAGTAAAGGCTATTTTAATTTTAATATTTCTAGCACTAATTTATGTATTTTCACTTTAAATACTGCTAACACTGGAAGGAGCTTAGCATATAAAATAACAATCTTTATGAAAAATATATGTGTTATTTTTGCAGCTGCAAATTAAAGTCCTTTCCCTCATGATCTATAAATTATACTGAAGTTACAAAAGTAAACATGAAAATAATCTATTTATCTTGGACCAGCTTTAAACATTTCACTAAAGTTTGTAGATCTTTTTGTTTACAGACTTCAAGACATATACTCAAATATTTGTAGCAATTACTATAAATATTTTTCAAAAAGGTCTCTTCTGTGCAAGTATGAAGGTGCTATGTGCACGGACAAGTTTTTTATTGTATAGAATTGTTTCAATTGTTCCACTTGAACTGTGACCCTCTAAAAAGGAGAAGGGGGCTTTAGGACTCCCATTTTGAAGGTAAAAATGTGAAAAAACGTTAATGATGAATTTAACGACTGAAGGAAAGAATGAAACGTTAGATGTGTGAACTAGGAAAACGTTAATTTCATGCACTTATGAACACACACTCACACCCCACAGTAGTAGAAGCAGTAGTAGTAGTAGTAGTGGTAGAGGAAAACACTACATGTGTAGGGGTAGAAATATTTGTTACATCATGATGCTGACTGGCGATGGAAGGTTGCCGCCTTAGAGCCCCCTGAATGGAAGTTCCACTCTGGAAAGCATTCACTACATCCATCTGCAAGGAATCAGAGATTGTGACAGCTTGCTCAGCAAGAGAGAGAGAGAACAAGAGAAAGGAGCATCCCATCTACAACACATAAAAAGTAAAGAAAAAAGGCACTTTTACAGAGCAGGTAAAGAGGCAAGAAGCACATTTGGTGATGAAGTAAAGAAGGAATTTGAAGCATTAAACAGCTAATACTTTTCCCATATAAAGATTTCAATCACACATTTTATGACTACAATCCAAATCAATACTAAGAACAATGAGGAAATGTCAAGTCCTCAACCCTATTTCCTACCTTTACAAGACCATACCTGAGTTTGTATCCTGTTTAGACCCCTAAACCATAAGATCTGACCACGCCTTAGCTCTCTTTCAGCATGATCAATTTCTTCCACATCTTCTGCTAACTCTTCTTCAGGAATCTCTTCCTTTTGTGTTCCATGGCCAGCTTCTTTAAGGAATTTCAAATGACTGGTTGGAATAGTTGATATCAACTATAACAATGGGGAACAAAAAAAAACATATTTATGAAAACTTTCCCTTACGTTCAAATTCCCTTTTAGAACTAGTGACAGACCCTCCCTAAATGGCTTCAAATAAGAAACAGCTAGCTTAAAGTTTTTCATTGTTTTCGTTGGAGAGGTATTAAATAAATCGTAGCTAGTCAATATTGCAGCATAATACTCCTATGCATTTGGATGCATAATGAAAAGACTGTATCACTTGCTTTCTTTTCCATATTGTTCTGAAATTTCAAAGTTTAAAACAGCAACAGTAGGGCAGCATGAAGAAAATTAATGACAATGAAAAAGCCATATACTGAGTAAAATGCATTTCAAAACACAATCTTGGTAATTTGAGGAACTGTACTGCAAAAGTAGTATTACATACCTGGCCCCAAAGAAGTGTTCCCATTCCTAGAAAAATTGACCACAACCACTGTTCTACTGTAAGCTCAGAGCAACTGAAAGGCTTCCCACCAAACTGTACAATAACTATCTGTTAAGAAAAATAATGATTGTATTAGCTATTTGAAATGATAAAAAACGAAGGTATTGGCTTTTATGATACAAATACAGTAACTATTTTAAAAGATCTATGATTGCTTTAGTATATAAAAGGAAGGGGGTATATGATAAAGGCAATGAAAAGAAAACAAAAACATATCTATCTAAAACAGACAGCACAAAATCAAACACACAGCATAATATTGGTAATTCTAGCCATTACATGAACCAATTCATTAGCAGACAGTGGACACATGTCATCAGTCTAAAACTGTAAAATTGGAATGGCATTGCGTCCAATTGTAAAAAGCTGTTTTCTGCTGTACCCTAAGCTTCACAAATCCAAGGTTATCTTCTATGGCTTCCAATTTTAGAACAGAGTAGAATAACAGAGTTGGAAAGGACCTTGTAGGTCATCTAGTCCAAACCCCTGTCCAAGCAGGAGACCCTATACCATTTCTGACAGATGGCAGTCCAGTCTCTTCTTGAAAACTTCCAGTGATGAAGCTTCCACAACATCTGAAAGCAATCTGTTCCAATGGTTAATTGTTCTCACTGTCAGAAAATTTCTCCTAATTTCCAGGCTGAATCTCTCATTGATCAGTTTCCATCTATTATTCCTTGTCTGGCCTGGAAAATAGGTTAATCCCCTCCTCTCTGTTACAGCCCCTCAAATATTGGAACACTGCTATCATTTCTCCCCTGGTCTTTCTCTTCACTAGACTAGCCATGTCCAGTTCCTGTAATTTTCACTGGGTAATTCCAGATAACATTGATTTTAAACACTTATTACTTTTCTCAAATCATATTAATAAATGTATGGACATTAAGCTAAAATCAGACAAGCCAATATATACATCTCTATGTTCCTTCCATTATTTTACACTTCTAGCATACAAAACTGATGGTCAACTTCTAAATATTCTCTTTCCTCTGGTTTTCCTTCTGAATATATAAACTTCTTGCTTTTACTGAAGAAGAATATATTGTCCTACACCAGAACTTCCAGGGTTATTTATCTCTGGGGCAAAAGATTTCACAACTGGGCTCCATCACTGAGATGACTCTCAGATGAACACCTCTTTTCCTTGGATTGAAGGAAGACCCGAAGGAAATCTCCCACAAATAATTATAATGCATAGCTAGGTTATAAATAACCCTATGTTGTGTTTAAAGATAAGTTAATAACACTTTGATTTTTATAATACTAAATTATAGCAATAGCAGTTAGACTTATATACTGCTTCACAGTGCTTTACGGCACTCTCTAAGCAGTTTACAAGTCAGCATATTGCCACCAACAATCTGGGTCCACATTTTACCAACCTCGGAAGGATGGAAAACTGAGTCAGTCTTGAGCTGGTCAGCACTGAACTCCTGGCATTGGGCAGAGTTAGCTTGCAATACTGCATTCTAACCACTGCACCATGACAGCTCTTATTATATGATCACATTCTCATTATAAAGTTTGCCATAAGCCAACATGAGTGCGATATGAACATATTATATGTCTTTAATAGCAATATTAAAAATTAACATTAACAAAAACATATTTCTATAAGCATACTATCAATTATAAAACCACATTTGCACAGGTCAAATTATCCTCTAATGTGACACATACAGATAAGGATATGTTTTATATTTAAAGAAATTCTGAACTCTCAGAGGATGCCCTATCCTAATACTGATTATAAATACAACAATCATTGGCCTCTAAAAACTCTTAACCCTCCAAATTCTGCATGACTTTATTTAAAAAAATCTACTCACCTGTACAATAAATGTTCCAAGAACTATAGTACAGAATATAGCATTATTGAAAATTCCTTCAAATACATTCCTTTCACCATGAATTTTTCGGGCATTTATTTCATTAAATAGCTGCATCATCACAAATGTATTAAACACAATTGTGTAGTGCTCTGAAGGAGGAGCATGAAGAGGTGCATTTCTTCCACTATCAATATCAAAGATTTGTTCACCTGTAAACAAGAGATAAATATTCTCAAAATGCCACCCAAATTCATGGGGAGGGGGTGTTTGTAAACATTCCTTTAGTCTTCTTTTAACATTTCTTTCTCTTTTAATCTTCTATTAACATGTTAATGTTCTTTAACATTCCTTTAAATATTGAAGAAATGCTCAAAATAATGCAGGCATAGTTCAGAAAGTATATCACAGAGGTTTAAATTACAATATTCTTACCAGCAAACAACAGTGTGAAGACAACCACAAGCTGATAGAAAGCATGGCCCAGAATATTCTTCATCATGGTCCGTGAGATGAGAGGTTTATTTCTACCATAAGGTTTTCTCAGCAAAAGTGCTTCTGTGGGGGGTTCTGTTGCCAAAGCAAGTGAAGCCAGGGTATCCATTATGAGATTTACCCATAACATCTGAACAGCTTTAAGTGGAGAATCCTGTAAAATCAACATGTTTTCTAATATAATCACAAATATTCTAACAAATCAAGTTATCTAACATTTAATATTTCCAATCAGGTTCATTATTGTACTTAAACCTGATGCAGTGATTAAGATGTTAAGCTAAGAGTAAAAAAATCCACCCAGTTTTTAGTTCCATATTGGCCATGGAAACTCTGCATTACTTTGGGCTGTTACTCTTTTTCAATCCAGCTCCCTTACAGGAACATTTTTATGGGATAAATAGATTTAAGAGCTTCATGAACTGGAGAAAGGGTGAGACATAAATCTACCAAATAAGAAATCACTCTCAAAATTAACCACATTGATTCAAGCTGATTTAATCCCATTACATGAAAATAAATATATAATACCTACTTGTGTAATACATGCTCCTGTGAAAGCAACAATTACAGCTACTACATTAACAGTAAGCTGGAACTGAAGGAATTTGGAGATACTATCATACACATTTCGCCCCCACATAACTGCTTTAACAATGCTTGAGAAGTTGTCATCTGTAAGAATAATATCAGAAGCTTCTTTAGCTACATCAGTTCCAGCAATGCCCTGAAGGAGAAAACAAAACAAAATTACAATACTGTCCTTGAGTATTATGACAGCCCAGATGTATACTACTCACATCTGTTAATAAAAAAAATAAGGAAGAATAGAAAAGTATTTCACTCTTCCTGCAGTCTGTGACGTGTAGAGAAGACTTTCTTTACGGCCTGCCATTTATTCTGGGGAACAGAGTAGGGACAGGTTCCTTCATATTTGTTCTTCCAATACATTCATTTGGTACCATACAATTCCTTGTTGTTATAAATTACCATGTAAGTAATTACATGGTGTGATTAAACAATTCTTGAATACTCTGGATTAGAGCTAATAATTTTGTTTTTTCAACTGTTAATACACTTTTAAAATCTTGAATAATGGAAAAACTACTCATTAGCATGAAATTTAAGCGAACTCAAAATTATTTTGTCATACTCACTTTTTTAAACTAGATATTATTATATCAATATTTATGCAAAAAGATCAACTGCAGTGGAAGCTATTATGAAAAATCTTAGTGATGATTCTGTCATATAAACTGAATTCAGTGGTGCTTAGCTAAATATACCTATATACATAACTGCAACACTGCAATATTCTTACAGTTTTTTAAAATTGAATCTTTTTCTACAGGTACTGTATTTTCCGGCGTATAAGATGACTTTCTAAACCCTGAAAATCTTCTCAAAAGTCGGGGGTCATCTTATACGCCCAGTTGTCTTATACGTCGGAAAATACGGTATATAGAGAATCAGAGGAATTGTGATAAATTCACCTCCGGTGGGAGTAGCTTGGGGGAGGTGGAGCTTGAAAGGAGGCGGGGCGGTAGGAGATGCTCATGGGGGATGCAGTGGTGGCTCATACTGACCGTGCGACCGGCGGCTGCGGAGGTGGGCAGGCAGGCGGCGGCGCAAGGCATTCCCTCTTTCCTCGCGCCCCACACGGTAGGGAGGAAGGAGGAGGAGGCTATGGGTCTGGAAGGGGAGGGGTGTCAGCTAAATTCCTCTCGGATTTACGAAGCAGGAATGGAGGGGGGACAGAAAACTGCTACACAGTCCTTTCGCCCGTCGACTTCCACCCCTGCTTTTATAGTATTTTCACTTCCCCATTAATTTTTCTTGTTAAATGTAATCAAATAATTACAGAACTTGTTTTTATGAAGTAATAACATTTGTTGTCTTGCAGATCTTTGAGATATTTGGCCCAGTGTCACATCCCTTTTATGTAGTACAGTTTAATAGTCCTGAGCACATTCAGTCTAAAGATATTAAAATAAAAGATGCAGTATGTTTTGCTCCAGTTGTGGAAAGCTTCACTCAGTATATATTTCCAGAAAAATTGAAACAGTAAGTTCGGCATATACATTTTTTGTGCCTAATGTTTTTTTGCAAGTGCAAGATCTGCTTTTTTCAGATCAACCAAGTGTTGATCCATTGGTTGGGGCAGGAATTGACCAACTGGCTTGTTGTTTGATATGTGATGTTGTGGGCTGAGAGAGTGACTAGCCCAAAGTTACCCAGCCAGCTTTCATGCTTCAGGCAAAACTAGAAATCACAGTTTCCTGATTTCTAACCTGGTGCCTTAACCACTAGACCAGGGGTAGGCAACCTTGGCTCTTTTATGACTCGTGGACTTCAACTCCCAGAATTCCTGAGCCAGCCATGCTGGGAGGAAAGGGAGAGGTTTCCAAGCTGAGCCATGCTGGCTCAGGAATTCTGGGGGTTGAAGTCCACGAGTCATAAAAGAGCCAAGGTTGCCTACCCCTGATTTTAAAGTTTGAAATATACATGCACACACACAAATAATTTAAACAGTAAAAAAATTCTAAACTCTTTTTAGCGGTGTCTAATTTATTTATCTTTTTATTTTTTATTTATGTAGACTTATCCCACCTTTATTATTTTTAAAAATAACTGAAAGTGGCGAACATATACAACACACCTTCTTCCTCCTATTTAGGCCCTAATGACCTAATCCTAATAATCTATCTCTGCATGTTTAATTAGATCTCAAAAACTGAGAGTTGAGATTGATATGTTTCTTCATATATTTCATAACCTGATCCTGTATTTAGAATTTTGGTTACAAACTGGATTCTCTGCAAAGGCCCACTAGAGCAGTCTTCCTCTACTTGCTATTCACCATATACCGTATTTTCCGGCGTATAAGACGACTTTCTAAACCCTGAAAATCTTCTCAAAAGTCGGGGTCGTCTTATACGCCTAGTTGTCTTACACGTCGGAAAATACGGTAGTTCTCAACCACAATTGAGCCGAAAATTTCCATCGCTAAGTTAGTTGCATCTCATTTTATGACCCTTTTTTGCCAGAGTTTTTAAGTGAATCACTGCAGTTAAGTGAATTATGTGGTCATTAAGTGAACCTGGCTTCCCGCATTGACTCTGCTTTTTGGAAGCCTACTGGAAAGGTTACATATCATGATCACATGACTCTGGGAAAGTGCAATTGTCATAAATACATGCCAGTTGCCAAGCAATCGAATTGGTTATAAATTGAGGACTACCTATATTGGAAAGGAATTAAAAATGATGTGCCATTTTTAAGCTATTATTATTTGATAGTAGTAATGAGAATTACACAAAGATTTACCTGCCTCCTCTAATATTTTGGACATTTATTGTTCAATTTAAAAAATAAAAATGGCTATTATGTTAAGTACCTTTGACTTCTAATTCCAGATAACCCTCAAAAGCCAGTAGATGGCACAGGAGAATAGCTTCTGAGCATTTAATTTAGATTAATTAAATTCTGCATAGTCTAGGTCAGGGGTAGTCAACCTTGGCTCTTTTATGACTCGTGGACTTCAACTCCCAGAATTCCTGAGCCAGCTAAGCTGGCTCAGGAATTCTGGGAATTGAAGTCCACGAGTCATAAAAGAGCCAAGGTTGACTACCCCTGGTCTAGGTCAAGCAGGCAGTGTGCAGTATGTTTTGGATTCAAGGTGTGGGTTTCTTAAAACTTTGACAAATCATTTGAGGAACAGATATTTAACTGTTCAGAATAGGACACTTGTTTCTGATATCATATGCAATAATAGAAGTTTGCCTGTTTTCCCCAGTGCCTCAGTTAAATGAAAATATATTATATAAAATTGCATGACAATGGTATGGGAAGTACCTGCAACTTAAAAGCTCACAGGTATACTAGACTATCTGATTTCTACTCCTTAGAAAAAATATGTTACAGATTCCACATTATAAAAAGGTGTTGAATCATTTGATTGTTCAATATCCTGTTAAATAATATAACTGTCATCAAATTCTATTAAATAAAAGACCACATTTATCTTAGATGCATGTTACTGCAAAAAGGAAAGAAAAAGAAGAATACTGATCTTAGAATTATGTACTCAATGCCTTTAAAGTTAACATAGAATACAATACAATCCTACACCAAACTTGAAAATGATTATCCTTGTAAAAGCATTCCTAGTTTCAAGTTTTAAGTTATCATGTGATTCCCTCCCCAGTCATTTTAGTATCATTCTCAGAAATATTCCAAGAATTGTACCTATTTTAATTATTAATATCAGAATACATCTATAACCTAATGTTTTTGTACATTCTTCACATTAATTATACATAATTTTAAATTTACTCTCAAGAAAAATTGGAAACATATTTTATCATTTTTAGCCAGAAAAAAACCTGCATTACTATTTCCGTCTCTCTGAAAAGACACTCAACTGCTGTTTAAGTTTACATATAAGGATTGTGATTTTCTATATGGGCATCAAATTTGGACCTCATCATTTATTGTGCAATTATCCCAAGGTAAACTTAGCAGAAAATGACAATGAATACAGAAAACTACAATCAGCTTTTTCCACTGCCATATGTAAACTAATCTCAATCAGTCTTCAATATAATGTTAACATCATAACTTAGAAATTTCAGTTTATAAAAGCATTTATTAGTAATAATTATAATACTTGTTAAACTCCTTACCATAGCAAAGCCAACATCTGCTTTTTTTAATGCTGGGCCATCATTGGTTCCATCACCAGTCACTGCTACAACCTGCCTTTGCTCTGAAACTGTGCTATCTATTATTCCTAAAAACAACAACAAGTATTTGTTATAACAGTACATATTTATATTAAACATTACAAATTTCAATAATTTATTCATTCATTTACTGAAATTGAGTAAATTTCTGTCTAAATCCAATATTTATGCTATACAGTAAGATATAGTCTTCTATTTCTCAAGAGTGTTTCCAGCTACTGAAGAAATGATTGACCAAAAAGATGTTTGTAAAATCTGTTAGAAAATGTATTTACCTTTCACCAGTGTATGTTTGTCAGTGGGAGAAGACCTTGCAAGTACCCGAAGTTTGGGCCAAATTTTGTCTATTCGCTCCTGTTCTATCTGTAAAGATAACTTAGATTAATTTCATAACTAAGTTTTCATAAGTCAAAAAAAGAATATTAACCATACCCACCTCTCCTTTTTCATTACGTATTCGTCTATTGAATTCTTTGCCTTCCAGGCATAAGAAGTCTTCGCCAGGATGCAAAATACCACATTTTAACGCAATAGCACGAGCAGTGTTAATATTGTCACCAGTAACCATACGGACAGTTATACCAGCACGCTGGCATTTCTTAATTGCATCTGGTACCTAAGGAGAGGGAAAAGCTAATTATGTAGTTATTTCTCAGTAATGATTAATTTAAAAAGGGTTAACCTGCTTTTGGCTAAAATACTAAGGTTTAATTCCATGTACTGTATGTGTCAATAACTTTGTTATTTATGTTACAATGCTGATATAATACATTATATATATATTTGATTATGTGCCATGAAATTGCTCCTAGTGACCACATAGATTTTGTCTATGATGATCTATCCCTAACTTTTTCTTTCAAGTCCTAAAAATATACATTAACTATGATGTGTGATTATAATGTTCCTAAGGTCACAGTTAGGCAATTGGTATCCTCCCAATGTTTGGGAATTAAACTCCCATCAATCCCTGAACCCCAAAGTAAGTAATCTGGAAATTGCAACTTAAAATCTTAGAAGGGCGCTAATACAACTGCTGGTACATCTGAGACAGTCAGCTCATTGAATATGTTACTCAGTATAAGATTTTATGCTTACTCTAAGGTGACTTACTAAGAGGTTCAGGCAAAATAAGAGACTGGAACATGTTACCATTTAATTGATGCACAAAGAATTTACTGTATTACTGAGGCAAAACCTAGTTCTTAGGCAATAGGTATAAAAAGTAAAACTATACCAATCACATCATATAGCACAAAACATATAACATCTGCATTTCTTCAAAATGAGTAAGAAACTATTTCTGTGACATCTAAGCAATTTTAAATTAAATATATATGCATATTATAGTGAATATTATTCAATCACTAACCTTAAATAAAGAACAAAGGATATGTGGGAGTTAATCTACTTTCCACTAAAACAGTACTTAGAATAGATATTACTCATTTCCAGAAAGGCTTGGAAGACAAGTTTAAATCAATCATTATTAAATCCTTAAACCACGATAAACAGCATTTTGCCCTACCTCAGGTCTCACAGGATCTTCAATGCCTACAACAGCAATGCATGTAAGACCAGTGACAATATCATTTTCATTATCCCATTCTGGTTCAGGTTCTCCAGCTGGGAAGTCTCGGAATGCTAGACATATAGTTCTGAGTCCCTCTGATGCCATAGGTTCTATAACAGTTTTTACAATATCATCACGGTCTCTTGGTCTGAATACTTTTGGTTCACCATTAGCACTTAGTATCTTGAAACACCTACAAATAAAATACAATCCATTTCAAGGTTCTGAATGTCAATGAAATCTCTTCCAACTCAAAGAATTCACTCTCAGTGCTTAATAAGTTTTTCAAATATATTTAATTCATGGAAATTTTGTTTAACTCAACTGAACAATGTGTAAAAAAGGTGTACCAGGGTTTAATGATGAAGAGAAATTGGGAGAATGTTAGGAAAAATTATGAAAAGGATAATGTGTAATTTGTTCTAAATTGCTATGAATTCATAATGTACTTAACATGGTTTGGGATGAGCTCAGAAGATCCCTAAGTAGAAATATTTTGATGCATAGTCTAAAGTTTAAAAACAATAAGGCATAAGAGCCAGTTTGGTGTAGTTAAGGCATCAAGCTAGAAACTGGGAGATCGTGAGTTCTAGTCCCATCTGAAACACAAAGCGAACTGGGTGACTATGAGCCAGTTACTCTCCCTTAGCCATAAGAAAGAGGCAGTCTTGCCAAGATAAGATCCAGGCAGTTACCAAGAGTCAAATTGACTAGATAGCATAAAAATTGACAAGAGAGCATAAAAAAATGGTAAGTATAAAACAACCTTTTCAAACAAGAGGTACTATACTTATTTCACTATTTGTCAATTTGTTTATTAACAGAATAATAATAAAATCTGGGGGCAGATTTTACCCTGGAGGGCAGGATGTTCCAAAGGGTGGTTGCTGTGGCAGAGAAGGCTCTTCTTCTGGATCCCAACAGTCAGAGTTCTTTGACCGATGGGATCTGCAGTAGGCCCTCTCTACCAGCCGATATAGGATGGGGAAGACTTACACAGGGACAATAGGGTTCATCAGGTAGCCTGGACCTATGCCATTAAGAGCTTTAAAAGCCATAATCATCACCTTGAACTGCACTTGGAAGCAGACTGGTAGCCAATGTAATTTCCAGAGCAGTGGTGTAATATGAGCCATACTAGGGACTCCCAAAACTGCTCTTACTGCCGCATTTTGCTCCAATTGAAGCTTCCAAATGGATTTCAAGGGTAGCCCCATGTCAAGTGCATTGCAGTAGTCCAGACGAGAGATGACCAGGGCTTGAGTAACTACAGAGAGTCAAGATCTAGGAAAGATCACAGCTTGTGCACAAACCGGAGTGTGCAAAAGCTCTCCTAGTCACACCTGCTACTTACTCTTACAGCAGGAGACATGAGTCCAGGAGAACCCCCAAATTGTGAACTGGGTCTGAACAGAGAAATGTAACCCCATCCAGAACCAGAGATGACAAAGCCCAGGATCCTGAGGTTCCATGCACTCAAATCCACTCAGTTTTGCCAGTGTACAGAAGTCTATTGTCCCCCATCCAGGACCCCACAGTCTCCAGGCATCACAAGAGGACAGAGACAGCATCACATGGGTTACCACATATAGAAATGTAGAGTTGAATATCATCAGCATATCGATAATATCTCAACTCATGGTGAGGGATGATCTCCCCCAGTGGCTTCATGTAGATGTTAAATAGGAGAGTAGAGAGTACCGAGCCTTGCGGGAAGCCGCAAGTAAGTGGTTGGGGGTTGGATTTTTCACTCCCTATCAATACTGATTGGGAAGGACCTCAGAAAAAGAACTGAAATAGTTTAAAAATGCCGACAAGCCCTAACTTGCAAAACTGTCCCAAAAGGATACCATGGCTGATGGTATTGAATGCTGCTGAGAGGCCAAAAAGAGCGAGAATGGTTGCACTACCTTCTTTACAGTCTCGCCAGAGATCGTCCTTAAGTGCGACCAAGGCTGTCTCTGTCCCATAGCCAGGCCTGAATCCAGATTTAAAGGGGTCCAGGAAATCTGTTTCATCCAGGATTCTCTGGAGCTGCCAAACATCCACCTTTTCCACTACTTTCTCTAAAAAGGGAAAATGGGAAACTGGACAAAAATTTGTCCAGGCAGATGGGGTCGAGTGGTGGTTTCTTAAGGAGAGGACAAACCAGAGCCTCCTTAAAAGGTCCTGGGAATATCCCCTCTTGCAGGAATGGCCAAGGAAGACTTAACTGTTTCTAAAATTAAGGAACTGTGTTAAAGAGATAATTTATAAATTAATCTAAAAATCGAAAGCATTCAATTGCTAATACAGATTAAAAACAGCCTTATATTCACTTTGAAGGCCACTTGTTCAACTTTATCAGCAAAGCAAATATTCTAAATAGAATATATTATTCCAGTTTTAAAGGCTACTGAGAAGTTACAAATACAGTGTTTAACTGGCAGAGTATACCCTTTCACACATTTAATCAAATATGTATAATAGAGTGATTTAAATGCCAGGGAATATCATTTCAACAATACAAAGAGTCCCCAAATACAAAAGCTAACTTGCTTTTTAAGTACTATCTCTGAAGCACCCTTGCTGAAGATCCGGAAACTGCCATCAGAGTTCTTTAACACAGTACTCATAGATTTCCTAACAGAGTTGAAGGTGTAGACTTTATAGAGCGCTTCTTCTGGTATTTCATTTCTAACTTCCTGGTAATCTCGTTTTAAATCCAGAAGGAATCCCAGCAAGGCACATTCAGTTTTATTACCAACATGGCGAGGAAGGCCACCTTCTTTTTCAGGAGGCTGAAAGACAAAGCAGTCTTTTTGACAAGGAATTTGCTTCAATCGTTTAGAATTTAACTTGCTACAATAATTCAGAATTTAACCTTTTGGAAACAGTTTATGAATTATGAATTCTGTGCTTAAATTAAATGTCCTACATTTAGCTTCAACGAAAGCACATTTCTCAAGAAACACACCACGGAAACTAAAATGGAGCACATTTTGTAGAATATTAAAAGCCCAGTGGGATAATTGCCATTTGTCTTCAAGATTTATTCACATTTGGAGAGTCAGATAAATTAATTACAAAAAACCATTTGACATTTTTGTCCACGTGCAATATTAAAGGTATATTTTAATCTTGGATAAGCAATTGATAGAGATAACTTCTCAATAAGCCACACACCCTTCCCCTCCACACACATATCATTTCCGATTTTTATATCCCTGTTTCCCCATGAGAAGTCTTTTTAATTAGATCAAACCACATAATTGTTATAAGCTATTGCAATCTAAAACATAATCATATATTACCACAAAATGTTGGTTTGTAGTTGTGGAAGCTTACATAAATTGACACATTGCAAGTAAGATTCAATTTACTGACCATGCTCATAGCTTCTCAATAAAATTGTTTTTGCTGCCTACTGGGGATTGCAAAACCAGGATGGGGGCTATTGCAGAGAATTTGCCAGCTGCCAAATATGGATTATATTTGGTTTGGTGAATTATTTAAGGCGCTTCTCTATATATGGTCTTATAATATGTATCTTGTAATGTATCTCTATAACAGAGATTTTCAATGTTTTTCTACATTCTAGAACATCTTAAAATCAACTGAAAAATTGCCCCCAAACATTTCTGAGAACAGCACTGAGGTGGGATCAGATGGCTGTGTATGTTCAAATTTGTTTTCCCCTTAGTCCCTTGCAGAAGATTATGGGGAAAATAAATTTTCTGAAGGGATTCACCCTTAGTCCATGTTTTCTCGTTTTAGCTCCACAGAACCTATCTAAGTAGCCACAGACCTCTTGGGATATGCAGAACCCAGTTTTGAAGAAAAAAACCCACTATACTAAGAATATGTTATATTCATTTGTTTGCATCTTTTAATAGATGGTCTAATGGTTAAAGCACCAGGCTAGAAACCAGCACACTGATTTACAAAAACAATGAGGGCAGGATAATAAATAAATAAAGCCAAGGATCAGTTTACATGACCATTAATGCTATATTACCCAGAATAAAGTATGTTTATGCTTTATAAATTTAAAATGGGTTAACCTTTGAAGAGCAAATGCATTTTACATTCAAATGATAAATTTTCAACAGCACCATTACAATCAAGAGAATTCAACCACTAACATTAATTACAAGAAAGGTCTTGAAGTTTAATAATGTTTTGTTAATAATCAAATAATATTGTAATATGACAAATACTTAAAAAGAATTTTACTATATTTATCTTTAATAAGTTAAATTTAAGTAGCTTTACACAAACATTGATTTTGATTTGATTAAAATATACTTAATTAACAAACTATTAATTGCTTGGCTTGGATTGAATTATGTTCAATGTTAAAGCATGTGTCTTTTCAATATATACCTACCAAGATTTTGGAAGTATAAGCAGAATTAACAGAGATTCCTGTTACAAGATATGATAAGGTTTTATCAGGAATAGCTTGCACTTCAGGAATTTTTTTATAATGCTTTTCAGAGATATATGCTTGGACCACTGTCATTCTGTTCATTGTCAGGGTTCCTGTTTTATCTGAGCAAATGGCTGTTGCATTTCCCATTGTTTCACAAGCATCCAGATGTCTGACCAAATTGTTATCTTTCATCATTTTCTGTTTCAAAAAAGGACAAAATCATGTCTGAACAGCATTAAAGCATTCTTAGAAAGTATTTGTTACTATCTTTCCCAAGATGAATTTCTTATATGAACACAAATGTGGAGATTTTCCAGCAGATACAAGACAAAATAAAGGAGTAGACTGCATATTTGTAACATTTGGAAAGAATCTGGCAGGCTGCCAGTCTTTTAGTTTTCCAGAAGCCACTGAGATAAGAGTGATGGGAGCCTAGGGATGGTTATGGGGGCATCATCCTAGGAGATGGATGGGACATCAGGTGTTTTTTTTTTTTAAAAAAAATATAGACTGTAATTTTATTATTGTGACGAGCTGCCCAGAGTTGTGGTCTAAGATGAACGGCCATACATATCTTTTCTAAAAAATAAATAGGTAAAATTTATATTTAATTCTAGACTGTAAGAGTGCCAGCCATTAGATCAGATGAATAATACACACTGCTTCTGCTTGTTGCTCTCCTTCATGCCCACCTCCATCATGGGGCTCCCATCTTTTCTTGTAATGCACTGTGTTCTGATATTTGGCTGTATCCTTTGGCTTTGATAACACTTTCTGCAACTGTTCTTATCATTCCTTTGTCTTGTTGCTCATTCTTAAGAAGAAAATTTTTAATCAAATTCCACCTAGGCATTTTATCTCTGAAGTCCTCATCACATTCTATTACTAGATAGGCACTTAAGACTTTGAAATGAATTTACATGAACCAGAGGTTAAGCAAGGCAAAAAGCCATATGATGGGGGAATTCTCAAAGTCATTTCTGCACATTTTTCTTTGAAGTGTAGCATACTGTACTGTTCCATCTTTAGTTCTGTTCCCTCAGAAAGAGCTGGTTCACCATCTGGGAGTTCTCTTATACTTGTGCTCTTGTTCAGCAGCAGATGGAGGCTGTGGCCAGGAAAGTATTTGCTAAATTTTGGCTGATGTGTCAGCTGTGACCATTTTTGCAGCAGACAGTACTACCAATGGTTATTTATGCTCTTCTCACTCAGACTACTGGAATCCAGTCTACATGCGGCTGCCTTAGACACCACTATAGTTAATATAAAGCATAGTTGCCTGGCTTGCCTGCTATCTTTATTGGAGGAGCTGCATTGTCTACCAATTCAAGAAGCTTGCTATTATGTATAAAGCTCTAAACACCTGGGGTCTTGGATATTTTGATACCAGTTACACCATGTAGAATCTACCCAACATATACTGTTAGGCATACTGCAAATCCGGCCCATTCAGGAGTTGAGTAGAGTGGGTACTTAGAAATAACGTTTCTCTGAGATAGTCTTTACCCAATGAAATTCTCTTGTTGTTCCCTCCACCTACATCTTATTAAGGTGGATACATCTTTCCTGTTAATATTCAGGAAGGCAGTTCAAATGCTGCTTTTCTGCAGAGTTTTTAGGGAATGAATTTTATTACTCTTTCCAATATAAATATTATTTAACAAATTTTTATGAGAAAGTTTGTGGTGGTTTTTTCAGATATTAAATTCTGATGCTTTTGGTAATGACTACTAATTTTGTTTTGCTTGTTGCACTGCCCAAGTTGTAAGTTATTTGTAGACTTTCATTGAAATGGCATATAATATTTGAAAATAAATGAAATAAGCTACTAAATAACCATTTCAAACAAATATCACTGAAGTGTAGTTCTTTGGGAAAAATTGCTATACTTAACTATTACATATTAAAACACTACATACCAAATCACATTTTTTGCTCATACCTTTACAGAGTAAGCCAGAGAGATAGTTACTGCAAGTGGAAGACCCTCTGGAACAGCCACAACCAAAACAGTAACACCAATGATGAAGAATTTCACAAAATACTGAATATATATTGGTGTACAATCTGCAATCCAAGGACGCTTCTGGATCCAGAAGGTATCAATTACAAAATATAATACAAGAATGATGACTGTGACAGCAGACATCAGCAACCCTTTCATGAACAAAAGAGATCTAGTTAATTATTTGTCATATAAATAACAGTCTTAAATAGCATTCACAGACTTCCAGTTTATAGAATTGGAAGGTACCTTAATGGCAATCTAGTATAACCCCTTAGGGCGAAATTCAGTAAAGTACCGTATCTCTGACAGATTACCATTTAGGTTCTGTTTAAAGATTCAGTGAAGAACTCACCTTTTCATGTGGTTGCCTGTTCTACTGGCTGATAAACTTGTAACCTGCACCAATTCTTTGTAGTTTTAACCCAACAAATATGGTTCTGGCTTTATGAACTATAGAGAATAAGTCTATTTCCTCTTCTATGTGACAACCATTCAGATATTTAAAATCTACTGCCATATGTCCTTTTCAATCATCTCTTCTGCAGTCTAAATGTAGCCAGTTCCTTTAATAATTCTGCACAGGTTTCACCACTGGTAGCCTTCTCTGAATTTCCCTCAGTTTGTCATTGCCATTTTTAAATTATAGTGCCAGAACTAGATAAAATATTTCAAGTGGTATCTGACCAAGTAAAGTGAATCAATAACTGCCTGCGATTAGGATTTTATGCTCCCGTTAACTGAACCTCAAGATAACATTTTCTTTTTCAATAGCTATATCACATTGCTGGTTCGTTTTTAACTTGTGATCACTAAGGATACCCACACTTTTTTCACATACACTATTGCCAAGCCAGCTCTTACCTATCTTCAACTTGTGCCTTAGTAATGTAAAATTGTGACGATGTTAAAACAATCTCTTTGAAGTCTAGAATTTTATGAACAATGGCACATATGGTTTCAGAGTACCAAAATCTATAGTGCAAAAAGATCTGAATCACATATATAATGAGGCCTGAACTGGTAATGAGTGATCCAGACATTGTTTTTGAGTTTTAGGCTTACCTCAATGGGAATGTCAAAATATTATGTGGCAGTTAAGAAAAAGGCAAATTTTGTGTTGAAAAAAACACTGAAAATAAAACTATTCATTATATTACATTTATTCAAATCTAATTGTGTATATTTAAAGCTGAAACTAAAAGCAGAAATGGCAAGTAACATGATGAAAGAATTAGAGCAATTCCCAAAACCATTTGAGATGGTTTTATTAAGAGAAGGACAATAGTAAGTACACAGCACATAGTTAACATTATGGATTTACTGCCATAGAAAGTATTGATAGGCAGCCCTATTTATGGCTTTACTGTTTAGAAAATCATGGAATGTAAACATTGTCAATGGCTACTAATCATACCATCTCTAGAATAAATAAAGGTAAAACGCTTTTGAATAGCAACTGCTTTGGAACAACATGCTTCCCGTGAGCATTGATTTGGCTACCGAAAGAAAGAAAAGGATATGCTTTAAAAATATTTTGATTGATTCAATGTGGTTTCTAAATGTTCTATGATGCCCTAAAACAATTCTTATTAAAAATTAGTACAATGGTTATTATGGTAACTTATGTGGAGTATTGATGGTGATGGCAAACTCAATACATAATAATCAGAATCATTAAGACAACACTCAAATAGTGTGATCAAAGCAAAGAAATGGCAAAGAAGTTGGACTTCCAGGATTCAACTTGTGGAAAGAAGCAAAATTTAAATGTTATAAATCAAACCTAAACAAACAAACTTCGGCTGATGTCCAACTACACCAACGCCAGCACAAACTGAAATGTCAGTCAGCAAGCACTAAATAGCATTAGCATTTGACAAGCCCCAGTAATCTACAACTAGTCTGTTGTATTCTCTGTATCACAATAATGCCAATCCATGGTTTTATTCTCTCTAGAAACGTAACAACTGAAGAGTCATACCTGCTTTGCCAATCTGAACTGCTAGCTTTGTGAGTTTCCCCTGTAGAACTGATTTCTCTTTCTTAGGCATATTATTTCTTTTTTTGTCATCTCCATCTATACCATCTTCACTCTTCAAAGGTTGCATTTCCATAGCTGCACCATCCTGAGCTTTTGCTAAATTCATAAAAGCACAATTGAATGAACAATTTATTATGACGAGAGCAGATCATACATTTCAAAACAACCAAATACAACCTGAGAATACAGCCAAATCTCATTACTGAGTGAATAATCTACTTCTGTTGTTTGGTCTGAATACAGCATAATCTTATGGTTTGGACACAGCATTGATGAAGTGTATAAGTGATTTCAGGGCACCTATCTTTTAGGAAGAATTTTAAACACAATTGGCCAGAATGGCCAGGCAATTTACCTATTAAATATTGGATTAAGTGGGAATGTAAAAACACAATTAAATAAGCTCCAGAAAATCTACAGTAAATATAAAAGATATGAGATTAATTTTGTACAGTTTTAAGGGGAGCTACTTTAACACTTAATGAGAGAAATAAGCTTCAATCTTCAATCAATCAAAAGTGTGTATATAAATTTCCAGTGTTTCCAGCAAGAATGTGTAAAATATTTCATTTCAAACCATATTAAGCACAAAATATCATGAAATTTTGAGTTGGAGCAAGCAAAGTCTTTTGAACTTAAAACAGAATAATTCCAACTCCAAACATCTCTGCCTAAAATTACAAATACTTCCATACAATCCGTTTTGCACTGAATATACTGTCTCAAGTGCAACTATATGTTTCACAAAGTTTTTATCTGCATAACACTAAACAATAAAATGTTCTGTCCATCATTATTAAATAGCATGTTCACCAATAAGTTATTCTTTATCAAACTTAACATATTGTTCTACTAGTTCTGTTCGCCCACATTGTAATTTTAATACAGAGTATCATAAATCACATCTTTGATATTTAAAATTAAGATGCAATAAATATTTTGCATATAAGTTATTTTTAGACTGTGAAGGAAAAAATGTAATACAGTAATACTTTCATTAGGACCAACAGGAACACCCTGAAAAAATGTGCAAGCTTTTGAATTCTACAGAATTCATTCTAAATCCTACTTTACCTTTTTTTTAAAAAAACCCAATGAAGAATTCTGTAGAAATTGAAAACTTAAGACACATTTCCGATTATTTCTAATAAAGATGCTATTCTAACATATATTTGATTTTTTTAAATATAAGTCATATTGTTACCTTTATTACGATTTTCAATAGCACCATCTTGTTTTTTACCTAAAACCAAAAATAGTAATCATTTTCAGAAATTGGTAGACACTTTATATAATTTCTTTTTTGTAAGATATCTATTGAGATATCTATTCCTATTAATTTGCTAAACCATTTTCTTTCAGAATAACTGGCAACAATCTAATGTGAATATTTATTGGACCATATAATGGTCTACGGGTATAATAAACAATTAAGTATGTTTATAAGGCAATATAAATGTGTCATTCTGTTTAACTATAGGTTTAAACTAATGTAGTAAACCTATTAAAATGTTCAGAAGCAGAATTTGTGAAGAAGTGATAAGAAAACTCAGTGGAGGACAACTAAAGTCATCCTTAAGCTTACAAGATTTAAAACATATTGCTAAAATATATTGCTCAAACCCCAGTTACAAGGTATTGTATTCTATTCATTTTGGTTTGTAAAATAGGAAATGCCTTATTATTCGATTGTTTAATTGTAATAAAGTAATTTCCCTGCTACTCCAGTTGATTAATACAGTTAACCTTAGTAAAACTGTATTAGTATGCAATTTTCATTTTGTCCTTGTTTCAATTTTGTCCTTGTCCTTTTCTTGGAGCCTTCTCATAATCTCATGTTATCCCAAAGGGTTTTACTATAACTTTGATCACTCTCCACTATTACTGTATAATAAATCCCTAGTATGATCACATTAAATACGAATACAACATTCTAAAGCAGTGTTTCTCAACCTTGACAATTTTAAGGCATGTGGACTTCAACTCCCAGAATTCCACAGCCAGCAATGCTGGCTGTGGAATTCTGGGAGTTGAAGTCCACATGCCTTAAAATTGTCAAGGTTGAGAAACACTGTTCTAAAGTATGGTTCAGAATTTATTTTTTTAGACATTTTATATAATTATTCTGTCGTGTTTATCATTATCTGACATGTCTCATTCAACACATCTTGTGATGTATTTGTGATGTGTTTTTTTTATGTTGAAAACAATAAAAACAATAAAAAATTCTTTGAAAAAAAACAAAAACACATCTTACTCTAGTGATATTGCTAAGAATACTTGAGTGAAACGTGATTCTACAAGCTCACAAATTGAAAGCTGAAGCTGATTTGGAACATTAGCTTGAAATAATTCAGATATTGAAGAGATTCTGATTTCATTTTTAAATTTATTTTGAATGGCTAAGAGTATCAGTGAATTCTAAAATTACATTTCTCAAAATTTACATAAAGAATAAACGAACAACAACTATCTATGTGCAATTATTTCTAAAATAAATTTACAGGATTTTAAAAGTGCATACTTTTCTTGTCCTTTTTCTCTTTTTCCTTTTTTTCTTCTTCATCTTCCCCTCCAGCACCAAGTAAAGTAAAGATAATTCCAGTTTGTGAGTTTATCCCTACAGCAGTAACTACCATTCTTCCAGAACCTTCCATAACATGTGTACCTAGAATGAAAAAAGCATGTGTGAATTAAGGGTAATCAGTGTGACTTTTGTAGCTTTATGAAAATATTAATGCTTATTTATCTGATACATCTAAAGCAGGGGTATCAAACTGCCGGCCCATGGGCCGGATGCGTCATGCCAAAACCGCACCCACCCCATTGTCGGCAATGGAAAAAAAGTCGCGATACGTTGCGACACATCACGTGACGTTGCGAGTCTGACACCCCCGATCTAAAGAGTTCAAAGTAGCTCACCTATAATTATCTTTCATTATATCTTCTAATAAACCTGTGAGGTAGGTTGGTTGAGAGAAAATCACAACTCTCAATTGCTAGTAAAACTTAAATCCATGATAATAATATACAAAGATACGATCAACAAAAGCTGCTCTAAAAAGAAATACTTATTTTATCAAAGATGAAGACACAAAAGAGGATCAAATGGTCTTCTGGTGCTTTGAACTTTTAATATTATAATTTCAGCATAATAATTGATTGCTTAGACATATCACATTATTGTCCTTCATATTAAGCATGTAATATAAAGTGCGGAAAAAATGAATAATATCGTCTTTCCTCAAAAATAAGACCTGTTCTTATTTTTGTTGGGGGCCTCCAAAAGAGGCACTAGGGCTTATTTTTTTGGGGGGGATGTCTTATTTTTTTCCTTGTACAGGTGGCGGCGAGCGCAGGGGCCGATGGAAGTGGGAGCGCTACTACTGCCAGCCCGGCCAGCTCCATCCCACTATCTGCTTGTCTGCGGCCGCAACGGGCCACATTCGCCCTGCCTGCTGGCCCTGCTGCTGCTGGGACACTTCTTGGCTGCAGTGAGCACCATTCTGACCACTGAGCGGCTGCCTGTGCTGCTACTGGCCTCGCAGGGGCTATTAGTGCTGCACTCAACTGACCTGCTGGGCTGCTCCTGCCTAGTGTGGGGAGAGTCAGTGCAAATTTATGACCTCCGGAGCGCCCCCCACTTCCGGCCTTCCAGGGGCCCTTTGCCAGTGGACGCTGATGGAACTTGCCTTCTGCCCAGCCGGCCACCAAGTCTGGCTGCTACCCAGCAGCCTCCACTACCTCCCACTGGAGCTGCCCCATGCACCCCACATGCTGGGCGGTGTGCCCCTCCCCTGCCCTGCTTCATTGGGTGTCTGGCAGACAATGGGAGGCAGCTCCAGCCCCCACACCTGCCTTTCCTCACTTGGCCAGGTGGAAGATGAAGCTATGGCAGCAGCCAGTGGCAGAGCAGCCTCAAGTGAGAAAGAGGTCAGGGGCAGCCAGGGGCAGCCCCACGCCTGCCTCGCACAGCCAGCACGAGAGCTATACTGCCCGCCAGGGCCCCGAAGAGTACCGGGTTCAGCCAGTAGCCCATCGCCTGCAGCACCGAGTAGGCGTGCAGGCCAGTGCCCAACAGCCTGAAGGCGGCGGCGGGGGAGGTGATGCAACTCCATTGGCCCCTGGCGAAGGGGACCTGGTAAGCTGGCAGCCAAAAACAGCACTGCCAAGAGGGCTAAGAGCCCCTGCAAGCCCAGCAGCAGCAGGGGCAGTCATGCCAGTTGCTACGAGTGTTGAGTGCATCAAAAAACGAAAAGCAGAAGTCGCCTGTAGTGGACTGCGGAAGGCGGCGAAACGTAGAGAAGAGCCACCTTTTCTTCGGGAAAGAGCTGGTCAAGCTGGGTGTTATTCAAATCACGTCCCGACATGTTTTGGAAGGGAGAAAGTACAGCTGTTATTGCCCATGCTCGGGTTTGCACGGTGGTGGCAAGAAACTATAGGATTTATTTTAAAATGAGAGATGCTTCGATGTTTTTTGCCCAGGGTGACAGACTGTCTCGCTCATCCTCACGTACGCGCAGTGTGTATTGTATCCAGATTCTCCGCCTGATTACTGGTAGAGGCGAGGTGAGGCAGGGGGCAAGGTTGGTGCCATGCTGTGGCCCCTGCGCATTTGGCCTCCACTTAGAGTTACCGTAGATAAGGGTGAATGGTATTCAAGGGAGATTTGCAGAGGATGAGCTCTCTCTCTTTAAAATGCTTCCTGGCTCTTTCCCAAAATGTGCTTGCAGTGGCTGCTAGACACGGAGTGGGCGGCCCCATGCCTCCTGCCATGGCCCCAAGGGAGGTTTGCGGGGGTCAAGAGCTCTCTCTCTCTCTGTAAAATAAATCCTGCAGTCTCTCTCCACCACCGTGCAAACCCAACCAGGGGCAATAGCAGCTGCCCCTTCTCCCTTACCGAAATGTCCTTGCAGCAACTGCTGGACACAGAATGGGCAGCCCCGTTTTTTGACACCTTCTGTAGTGCAAGTAGGCGGGCGAGTCCTGCTTTTCGCTTTTCACATCTGCTGCTTGCTTGCAGCAACTGGGACCACTGTGGGCAGCACGGGCAGCAGGCGGAGTCAGAGGCACGGGGCTGCCCACTCAGTGTCCAGCAGCCCCTGTAAGCATATTTCAGAACTCATGTAGCTCTCAGTCTCTCCCAAGCCACCGACAGGGAAGAACCTTCAGCCAGAGCAGCCTGGTGCAATTTAATGCTTTTAATTTACAAATAGAAAACTAGTCACTAATACTATGGTACTTCTCCTTCTTCTCTTCTTTCTTGGCTTCACTTTTTTTTCCTTTTCCTTGTCATCTTTCTTCTCCTTCTTAGTCTCCTCCTTCTCCTGCTCCTCCTTCTTCTCAGCATCTTTGTTGGCAATCTTGTTGTTGATGAGGTTGTGCAGTGCTACCACCGAACGGATCAGATGAGGCAGGGGGCAGGAGTGGCGCCACACCACAGCCTGTGCTGGCCATGCTCACCCCTCCCCCCAGGGCTGATGCTCTTAACTAGGGCTTATTTTGGGGGTAGGGCTTATATTACGTGCAGGCTTAAAAATCAGGCGAGGGCTTATTTTCGGATAGGTCTTATTTTTGGAGAAACATGGTAGTAAGCAAATTAAAGGCAGGAAGTAAGACAGAAGAAACTTACATCGTATTTACATCAATACCTTTCACTACTGCTTTTCATATATTTGAATCCCTCTAAACAATGATTATGTTATCTTACATTGGATGTTTTAAGTACAGATGTATAGAAATGGAGGAGAGAGAGAGAGAGAAAGAAATTACCATGAATCTTAACTTCAATAAATCAGCAAGCAAGCCCACTAGCCTACCACTTGTGGCGGAAAACTTTTCTAATCAGACTTCACATGTCTCCTGCATCAATGAATAAAAATGTAATCTTGACTGATTTTATCTTCATTGTTTTGGATTACGTTTTGAAGCTTCAGGGGAAGGATTATGTCTCATAGACAGAAACAGAAACTTTCTTTGAGTCCTTCAATTGGAATTTATAGGAAAGAAGTTGCCCTCTGAGAAACTTTTAAATAAAGGCATCAAGCGACCTTTATAGTGCAACTTGTACAATTCCAGTTTATAAAAAGAAATAGATATTAGATATTGGTAGATATTTTTTTAAAAAATTATGATTTATATATAGCCACCTATCTCACACAAGTGACTCTGGGCAGCTTACAAAATTAAAACAAACAAACTCACTAAACCAATCCCACATCCACACCCACACTCAAATAATTCCACACACCCTCAAAATAGTAGAGCTCATCTACTCTCACCCTAAATGCATGGGGAAAAAGCCAGATTTTCAATAACTTGCAAAAGGCTAACAGGGTTAGAACCATCCACATTCCAAAGGGTTGGGGTAGGGGGCTCTTATTCCAAAGGGCAAGTGCTGCCGCTGAGAAGATGACACTGTTTTACAGCAAGAATCTGGAGCATGCCCTCTTGTAAAACAATAGGAGAAAGGCAGTCCTGGGAATAATCTGGCCCTATGCCACAAAGGGCTTTTTAGATTATAAGCAGCATTTTAAATTGCATCCAGAAGCTTATTGTAAGTCTGTACATCTTACAGAACAGTGCTGGCACATGAATGTAATGAGAAATGTCAAAAACAGCCCATTTTGCTGCATTCTGGACCACCTGCAGCTTCCAAAAGTTCTTCAAGAGAAGCCCCATGTACACTGCATTATAGCAATTTAAACATGAGACGACTAAGGAATAAGTTACCATGAGTAAGGTGAGAATCCGAGAAACCTGATTTGGATCTGATAGCTTCTTTAGATGCAGAAAAACGCTTCAATGTGGCATGATTAAATTTTCTGAACATGATTTGGGAAAAATTGAATTCCTGTGTGTTTATTAATGGATTAAAGTAATATTGAATTAAAATTTAAATCAGCTAGAATGATTATGAATGGTATAAAACAGTTATTTTTTGATAGCAGTGGCATATACACCTTAATGAATGAATATATATTTTGCCTATAAAATTATATTATATTATTATATATTACATTACATTGTACTATATTTATACTATATTTTGTTATATTTATGTTATTTATTTATTTATATTTGAATTTATATCCCGCCCTTCTCCCGTAGGACTCAGGGCGGCTGACAATCTATTTAAAATACATACAAAACAATACAAATTTAAAATTAATTAAAAAGAATATTAAATATTTGTCGAATTTAAAATATAATTAAAACCCCCCTAAAAATTACCCTAGGCCAGTCCTGCAAGCTGGAATAANACACCTTAAAGCGCACCCGGAAGGCCACAGGCAGCCAATGCAGCTCGCGCAGCAGCGGTGTCACGTGGGAGCGCCGAGTCCCCCCCAACACCGCCCGCGCGGCCGCATTTTGGACCAGCTGGAGCCTCCGGGTGCTCCTCAAGGGGAGCCCCATGTAGAGAGCATTACAGTAGTCCAGGCGGGAGGTGACAAGTGCATGTATGTTATGTTATTTTTAAGAAATTTCAACATAACGTAACATAAGTTTTATCTTTTCTTTTATAAAGTTTAGTATTAAAACTACTAGGTCTCTTCTTTTAGGCAATTACATTAAATTTTGGGATTCAAAGTAGCTATAGAGTAACAAAAATTATTATTTATTCAGATGATATTTTCCTATTTCTGATAACCTTCAAATCTCTTTACCTCAATTTGTAAATACATTAAATCATTGGGTTACTTGGAATGTTTAATATATTTCTGCTTACATTACAGATATTAATGGCAATTTGTGACTTATTGGGATTTGCCTATTCTCCAAATTTTCTTAAATATCTTAGAACATGTCATTCTTGATTTATGCCCACAACTGGAATTGGAACTTCCACTGCTAAGCAATGCAGCGAGTTGTGCCTGATTTTACAACCTTTTTTTGCAGCAGTCATTAAGCAAGCTCAGTTTCCCCCACTGACTGTGCTTATTGGAAAACAGCTCGGAAGATTGTAAATAGTGATCACATGAACCCTGTGTCAATGCTGTGATAATGGATGTTGTTGCTTTGACACCTGAGAATCAGCAGCCATTTTTACTTTTGCTTCTAACATGGCTTTTCTATTCTTTTAGAGTTCAGATGTAGAAAGGGGATGGGATGAATGCTTGAGGGTTTAGCTAGCCATAACAATGTAAAAGTGTGGGAACTCAAGGACATGGTCTGATAAGATTTGGCAGGCTGAGTGGCCGGTGAGAAAAGCCCGGGTCTTGCGTTAATTGGGGAATATGATTTATGACAGCATTTGTGGGATGAGAATTGCAACTTGTTACTTTGTATCTGGGGAGAGGGAATCTCAGTTTTGGGTTCAACTATGTGAGTGCCGATATTTTGTTTTCGAATAAAATGTTCTTTAAGGAAGAATTCTTGTCTTGAAGTTCTTTTACTGGTTTCATCTATCGGAACCATGACACCCTAGATACTGCAAAATTCATAAGTAGATGCTGGTTGCTGAATGCATGAATTTTGATCATGTGATAATTGGGATGCTGAACAATTGTAAGTGTGATAACCAGTTGTAGGTCACTTTTTCAGTGCCATTGTAACTTTGAATGGATGTTAAACATATGGTTAAGTCAAGGACTACCCTTGAACATTCATTAATATATTTAAATATGTTAAATTGCATTGAACATTCCTATGGGTCTATGGGGGAAAATAAACATGGTCAGAATGATTATTTCTTCTACATTGATTTACACTTCGAGATGAATTTCTATATTAATTCCTTTAGACGTTTTATATCAAGAGAGAAGTTATTCAGGATTTTTTTTATGGGATAGCCATATGGGTTTGTTTTTGTTTTTTAGCTTAATGTAGGCTTAAACACAAAGAGTGGGGGTTATGTATGTTTAACCACCAAGATTTTTAGTTCTATTAAGTGGCTTATATTTTCACTAGTTTTTATAAATAAAACAATCCTGAGTATAAACTATTATAGGAACAACTTATAGGGAGTGAGAATATATTTATGGCAGGTCATGATTCTTACATGAAAAAAAATATTCCATACATATCGTATTTGCATTGTGAAAGAAACTTGAGTATTAAATCATTATACTAAATGAAATGCAAGTCAAGAAATAAATTATTTATATATCAAACTTTGTGGATTGCACCATTGCATTGTATCTTTGAAATATTAATTATGCATCACTCTTTACTTTGAAAATTTATTTCATTACTGAAATATTAAACATTTATTGCTGATTGGCCAGAAAAATAACATACTGAGGGCCACAGTATCAATAATTTGTAATAAGTGTTGTATTCTAGTATACCATATTCTAGAAATTATTTAATCTCATGGGAAAAGAAGATACTACAGTTATATATGCTTAATTAAACTAATCACATTAAAGGATGCTTGTATGTCTGAAATCCTACCTGTTGTTAGGACCTATCATTTTGGTCCTGGGGAAGTTAAAAATGTAATACATAATATATAAGAGTACTAGTTCTTACCATACCGTCACCTGGGAAGACAATGTGTCACATAACCTAGTTCTAGAAGTAGGAAACTTTGTTCAGTTTCCATAATATCTCATGATTAGATCCTAGCTATCATTTGATCACTCACCTGAGAGCATCATAAGGTCTCGATCCAACACTTTCTTAACAAGATCAGATTCTCCAGTGAGCGAGCTTTCATCAATTTTGAGGTCATTGCCTTGTATAAGTACACCATCAGCTGGTAAAAGGTCACCTAAAACAGAAGTCAAAACTACATTTAACAAACAAATAAATAGGTTACAGAGATCACAATAAAATAAATGGGTATATTTACCATATTTTACTTGTGCAATGTCACCAACAACTATGTCAGCTACAGGTATCTGGATGACTTGGCCACCCCTGATGACAGTAAACTTCTGTTCTTGTTCAATGCGGCTTTGCAATCCCCTGAACTGCTTCTCTTTACTCCAGTCATTAAAAGCTGTGACTAATACCACACAAACGACAGACAGGAGGATTGCAGCTCCTTCAATCCATCCTGTTTCACCTTCTTCTTCTTCTTCTCCAACTGATACTGTTCCACATACTGTAGAAAGTAAACAAATAATCCAAATTTCATATTCAGTTTTTATATTGCTCTAGTTTATTCCAAATTTGCAATTATTTAATCCATACAATCATTACTTAATTATATTGACTATGTTCTAATAATAATAACACATCTGCTTATTCAGTATTTAAATTTAAATACCTCAGTTGCTTTCATATTACATACACTTTAGCAGGTAGTACTAGCTATTACTATATTACAACTATTGTAAGGCTTTTTAAAATGGACATCTGCCGATCTCTCATGCCTTTAAATATATTTCTATTTCCACAGGTTTTCAGAATTTCCTGCTTGTTTAATCTCAGTGGATTTTTTATTGTTTTAGTTTTATTTATTTATTTAAGAAAGTTTATATGGCTGCCCGCTCACTTTCAGTGAATCTGGGTGTCTTATGAAAATAAAAACCCAATATACAAACAATAAAAACAATAGCCCCATAATATTTTAGTTTATTAACTCATTTATTCTATTTTGGTTTAACTTAAGCATTTTAGCTTAGATTGAGTGGTTTTACTCTATATTCCCAGAGCTAGTTACAGGGGATCACTAATATCTTCTTGGAAATAAATAAGGTGGTAAAACTATTTGAAACAAGCTCTCTAAATCTTTCTTCTTACGATATAGTTTATAATCTCAGAACTTATGAAAGAAGCAACTGTGATAAAACATACTATTTTTACACTCTGATAAGACCTACTTCTTAAATTTTTGCTGGCATATGTTGAATTCTAAATACAACAAGGAATCATCTTACCACCCACTTTTTTCAATTTTGGAAAGTGGGCAGTGGTAGAAATGTCCTCTGTTGGTCTCTCATTAGAATGATCAAAGTTGTAAATTTACATAGAAAAATTACTGCAACACTCTTAGCTCTCAAAGTATCCTTATTTTCCCCCCCAGTTTTTGTATGAAAACTTATGAAAAAAATTAAAGGACCAAGATTAACAAATCACCAACCTATATTTGCCTAAAGGTTCAGGCAGTATAACATTTAAATCAATGCTCCCAATTATCTTCTTTGTGATTTTTCATTTATTTATTTATTTATTAAAATTTATAAGGCCACCCAACTCATTCTCAGTGACTATGTTTTAGTAGCAATGTAAAAGTAACATGACAAGGATCAACACTGTTCCTTTGGCACTAAAGTAAACTTCAAAGCTATGTATCTGCAAATACTCATAAAAATAAATGTACAAATAAATAAAACTAACCAATCAATATGTTTTGTGATATCTTTTATTCTTCTACTTCTACTTGATGTACCTCATATTCAGTTACTAGCCATCTTCAGAAATTCAAAAGAAATGTTTGCAATACATAGAAGGGAAAATGAAGCATCTCTCCTTCCACTGTTTAAGCAGACATGCATTCTGCTAGTAATTTATCTGCTTCATAAGGTTTCATGTGTGTATGCATACACACCTACACTGCAGAAAACTGGAGAAACTCCCCAAGCAATTGTATTAGCCTTGAAAAGTAATTTGTAGGGAAGTATTTAATTTGTCCTCTCACAAGTTGCAGAATACCTGTTCTTAAATAGATTGAAACCCAAATAAACAGATAATTTTAAACTAATCACTCATAGATATATGAGTGTCCTGCATGTGCAGCAGAGTTGGATGGGGATGGGCCACGCCTCCCGTGACGGCCAACCTGACTCTGGCCGAGCCGGATTGCTTCAGCTACGAGGACCCTGGCCTAAGGTTTCTATCGCCCAGGCTTCCTGAAGGTGATGGGAACTGCAACCTGCCTCAGCTGGAGTTTAGCTGAGCCACAAAGTTGAACGCACCCATAAAGCAGTGGTGTGTCCCGAGCGAGGAAGCATGACCTTTGAGGGTGGAGGGTATTTCTGTGGCTCATGCGCAGAATTCATACCGTGCCTTCCCAGTGGTGTTCAAAGAGGCTAATCATGGTACCGGTAAATACAAATCATCTTTTTGAAATATAAAGGGACGGATTACAATATTGATGACGAATGTAAATGAAAAGACAGTTTCCAAAGCCTTCCTCCCCCGCTGAATGAAACCTGAGTTGCCTGGGGGGCAGGGGCGCCTGGCCGGGCTGGGCCTTGTGATGAAAAAAATAAGACACCTCCTGAAAATAAGACCTAATGCCTCTTTTGGAGGAAAAAAAATTGTAAGGCCGGGTCTTATTTTCTCATAAAATTAAAGGATAATGAGTCCCAATTATTTAGTTGGAAAGGCTCCATATTGGGATACAGAAAATACAACAATTAAGCTTATTACCAAAGATGAACAAGCAGTATTAAAAAGGGCATGGCAGGCATCTCCACCAGAGATGCTAACTCTTCCTAGGTACAACATTCAGCCCATTTTTCAGTATAATTACAATGAGAAAGAAAGTTGTTTATCTGGTGATTCAATAAGTTCTAGAGGCCTTTATGCTTTATTAATTGTGAGGATCAGTGGATACTGAATTATAACCCAAAGAGCTACATTCAAAATTCTATCAACAATTTTCTGCTAAAGCAAAAGGCTTTCCCCTTCATTACTCTTTAGAATTCTCCTGTTCCAGAAAGCTGAGGCATAAGAAGGTTCTGGGTGGACAACACATTGAAATGTAAGGAGAAACCTCATTCACCATCTGATATAATCAACTGATAGAAAGAAAAAAAATTGATTCAAAAAAGAACAAATAGAGCCAGTCATACAATTACACTGTTATAAAATACTACTTAAGCTATATGGTTTGTGTCAATCAGGACAAATAGATTCTAATTTAAGATCAAGGATGGGGCAAGTGAAGTTGCAGCTTAATCCTCTCTTGGCCTGAGACCAGACCTTGCAATTACTGAGAAATATTAACAATGCTTCTTCCTCCTAACTTCTAAGGAATAAATACAAACATAACAACACAAAAAAGGAAAAAAATAACAATGAAAGTGAAAAAAACCCAATGTCTTTAGTTTCCTGGCTAGTTAACAATTTTTTACCTAATTACATTTTTAATTAAATGCTAAAGGCTACCATTGGGCTGGCAGTAAGCACTCATTGTTTGTTTAGTGTGTTTTACAAACTGAATCTATTAATATTGTAACATGTATGCCTACCTATTAAAGCAGTCTTCTCAATCTAGTGACATCTAGGTGCTGGCTGACTTTAATCAGTACTTCTAGTCAGCAAGGCTAAGGGTTTTATTGGATAGGGATGGCAGGTCTACTCAAAGCAGAGGTATGCAGTATCTTGGTGTGAAGTAGAAAAGGATGCTTTGAATTTAATGTAGTCAGCCATGCTATACCTGTCAGTTAATTCCTAAAAGGAGTCAATCTTTTCATAGGCTTGCATGGTAGCTATATGGTTTCTTACAAACAAGAACTTGAGTTAAGGACGCTGTTCATTATTCCTTAGTTCCTGCTTCCTTTACATAAACATATATTTTCCTAAAGCCATTCCGGACCAAGAGAAACCAATGAAAAGGAAATGCTCCTCATATTCAATTATACCTGAAGGTATCCAGAATGTAGAAGGCTGGCATATATATATATATATACATCTGCCAGAAATTATTGGAAGGCAAGCAAAGTTTAATACACTAGTTTTCTCCCAATCATGATCCTTTTGAACAGAGACTTTTGCTCCTAATAAAATAATTCTGGTCTTAGAAAACTGTTATATCTGGTAGTCATACAAATAATATCAATATAGTTTGCCAAATTTTGAATTAAGAGGAAACTGAATTTGCTTCATGGACTATCATAAGAGCTATTAGAACAGTGGTGGCAAACCTATGGCACTCAGAGCCCTCTCTGTGGGCACACGCACTGTCGCCCAGCCCCGCCTCCTCCTGTGGCCCCCTTCTCACCAGCAGCCCCCCTGGAGAGTCGCCCGAGCGCGGTCTGCGTGGAGCAGCGCAGCCAAGGACATGGCAGCTGGGTAGCGGGGACAAGACTCTGCCCTCGCGCCCCGTCATGCGCAGATGATGCTGTGGGGCACGGGCGCAGGACAGGGCGCAGGACATGGCCATGGTGCTGCTGGGCCACATGGGCGATCTACTGAGGTGGGCCTTGGAGGAGGTGGGTGGCCTTGCAGGGGAGCGGGAGTGGTGGCAGAGCAGGGGGCGGGGCGCAGAGCGAGGTGGGTGGGGAGGCAGGGGCAGTTTTGGGCACTCAATCTCTAAAAGGTTCGCCATCACTGTACTAGAAGAAGCATATGTTCATTTTATAATTCATGATAAAAATTTAAGTGCCGCTGAATTGAGCCCAGTCTCTGGTGGTTATATGAACATTCAAACATCAGAATTAATATAATACATGCAACTGCACACAGGGAAAAATAATTTTGAAAAGAACTATATGTAGAAGCATAGTAGGAGATTCGGATTTAAAGAAAGAATATATAAAGTTATATAACTCAATCAAAACGGGTTGATATAGTCATATAGTTTTGTTGACTTATGTTGAAACTACTGGTATTACTACTCTGGAAGACAGTGTTATAGTCTTCCTGCTGATAACTTATGTAATTCTTAAAGTAGTGAAATTATAAAATATCATGTTAGTAGTCCATAAATTGGAGATCAAGTGCACACTACTTTCTCTTTTCTATAGAATTTGTAATGAAACATTTAAATGGATGGCTATAGCTATCACATGATGGCAAGATTAAAAGATGTGGAAGACAGCACTCTGGAAACAGCAGAAAATAGAAAACAGCCATAACCAAGAATGCATTATATCACTGGACATACTGGGCAACTAACCCGTATTCTATAGCAAAATTTATAAATACTTTGCTTTAAATGTGTTTTGTTGAGTAAGGTACAATGGCTATTTTAATAAATAAGCCATAACTCTATCAATATACTACATTACTTTGAAGCTAAGTAAATTACATTTTATGAAATGTGTGAACCATTAGGGTTGACTCTAAAGAATATCCAGATATTCTATCTATTCTAAATGCAATACCTGTGTTTTAGTCAGCATTGCACTGGTTTCAAATTTATTTCTCAACACAATTCAGAGTTATAGTTAACTTCTAAACTTTTAATAGCCTTGCTCCATTCACCTATGGAATAAACAGACAGAACATAGATCTAGATTTATCCAAAGTACAGAAACAAGACTTACCAACTACTAATTATACTGCTGGATAAAGAAAGGTTGGAATAATCAAGCAGAGATTGTTACAGGGAAAGATGAAATTGTCTAATTTTAAAACTTACACCAAATTAAAATATAAAATTTGATTCTTTGATTTTAAAATTGTTTTTGTAGCAAGCTTTACTTAATAAATTTCAGAGTTATCACAGAAACTGAACCATGTTCCACTAGCCTGAAATCTTCCTGATCCTATTCTGAATAAAAGATCTCTATATCCCCAAAACTGAAATATTTAAAGAAGGCTTTGTTTCCAGGCTACTTTAAAAGTAAGCCAACAATTAAGGAATAGGTTTCCAAGCATATTTCAGAATGTCTATGGAGATTCTTAGTTATCCAGATCATGGTTGACCCAAAGATGCTTTTTAAAAGAGACATAGAAAATTCAGTTGCCTCTTGAAAAAGCACCTTTGGGACAGTATTTCAGAAGTCATCTCAGTGAACATGTCAGAGAAATATTCTGCAGAAAAACACACTCTCACTTTACTACCTAAAGTCTCTGACAGACGTTGAAACAATAAGCAATTTTTGATTGAGACCATTTCAGACATAGTGTATTAATTTTAAGATCATGATTTTATCTGATAATTCAGATATTTTGTAGCACCATATTTAGTTGTTACAATTAATAATACCAAATAAACATTTATACTATATGCATTTAGAAAAATACCTGTTCTGAAATCAGAACATGCTTTAGACATCTTGATCACTCCATTTAACAGATTTCAATATTGATGAATGGCATTTTTAAAAAGAAATTCATCTAATAAAAAGATAGCCCAGGAATATTAATCTGCACTGGTATTTGCTAAGTAACTGCATGTTGATCTGGATATAAGTGTAAACATGGGGTATGTGTTGAGTGTATCTACTTTTTGCAGGAATGGGACTTAACAAGAAGTGAACCTTGTTCTGCCTCCATCAGGTTTCCTACTTCTTTCATTAGTACCTCTATTTAGACACTCATATTTACCTGTCCTTGGGAGCAGTAAGGAATGGAGTATATGAATCCAGGCCTGCTCCTGAACTCTCTCCAGTGAAAAATACAGCATCTGAAGAGATCCTATACTTGAGGAAATTAGATTATAGTAAAGCTCAAAATGCCCGTCCAAATATAGATTAACTAAGCTCTTTTGATTTCTACACTATGTAACCCTGGGGAAATTAAGTTGAGAACAGAGTGAAGTTGCTCTAATTATTCTTGTTTTCTAGATTTAAAAACAGAAGAAAAAGGAAGTGTGATACAAAAGATCATATAAACCTACTGTCATTCTATCAAACATTCAAGATATGTGCAAATATGATATTAAAATCTGTATCTTGCTCAAATGAAGAACTGACTAGAATTCAATGTGAATAGACTTTAACCTGTCAAGTTCTCACAGTTCTAAGAACACAAAACGCTTTTTGGATTTATAACAGAATTCTAACACATTCATTCTGGTGTATTTCAAGATAAACAAGAATGAAAGAAAAACTATATGATTACTTACATGCATCGTTTCCTCCTGGAGGTTGGTAAAAAGAAAGGCCCAATGATATTATGGCTGCAATTTCTAAAATTATTAACGTAACATCCTGTAGTGCTTCCCATACTAACTGAAGAAATGTTTTTGACTTTTTAGGAGGTATAAAATTCTTCCCAAATACAGCTGCTCTCCTCTCTATATCTGCTGGATTTCCACTTAAGCCTAAACAGTAAAAAGGGAAAATGATTTTAGAGTAGTTTATTGTCACCTCCTAACAAAAATGGAACATTTTTCATATTGGGTTTATTAAAATGTTAAATATACTGCAAACTTGTTATTTTGTGCTTATTTATTATCATGCTATTTATGCCCATGTTTTCTAAAATAGTAGCAGCAACTGGCTACAAATCACTGAAGAAATGTATTGTTTTATTTATTTTAATTTGATTTATATATTTTTAAGTCTAGATAAAAACCAAGTATACTTTTAAAAATATATTTATTCAGTATAACCCTGATTTTCAAAGAAATTAATTATATCAATAGCTGACATTAGGATTACAAACTGTTGTTTGTATTTTAAGATTTTTCTGAACCCATAGAGCAGTGGTGGCGAACCTATGGCACGGGTGCCAGAGGCGGCACTCAGAACTCTCTCTGTGGGCACGCGCACCGTCGCCCCAGTCCTAGGCCTTCAGCTGGGTTTTATAAAACCTTTTCGCTTTAGGCCTCCGCTGCCGTGTGCAAAAAAAAAAGGTTCAATCAATCAGTCAATTTCAACGTCTCGCGGGGGAAAAAAAGATCTTGCAAAGTTGGAATTGATTGAACTTTTTAGTCCCACCCAGTCTGCTGTTACAACCGCAGCCACGCCCACCCAATGGGCCACACCCACCCGGCACCCGACGATGCATAAGTGGGTTTTGGGTTGCAGTTTGGGCACTCGGTCTCTAAAAGGTTCGCCATCACTGCCATAGAGGAACGCATTGAATATAAAAGTTTTGAGTTTCTGCTAATTCATTGCTACCATGCCAGTGTCACATATAACAAGCATATCTTTTTCCTTTTACACATATCACTTTAAATTAAAGTGTTAATCACTTTAAATCAGTGATTAACACATCTGATGTGTGGCCTTCCAGAAACATAAATCAATAACATTAGCAAATTAGATTTCCTTATTTCCCATGTTTCAAGAAAAGGAAATTCCCACATGCTGGGAAGATTTTACCTTGGAAAATTGCCAATGATTTCTGGAAATTTCATGTAACAGTTTTTCAGTTCTAACTGAAACTATAACTATTGTTTGTTTTTAAAACAAGTAAAAATCTCTATTATGAGTGCTTAAGGCAGATTTTGACTATTTCTGAAAAAAAAATTCAAAAGGGAAACTTTAGGCTCCTCTAACATTGCACTTTCTTCCCTTTGCCCCAAAATAATTATAGCACAGAATATATGGATGTTTTCAACACTTTGAGAACAAAAGCTGTGCTACAAAACCTGAGCAGATAGAAGTGGTTTGTCCACCATTTTAAGAACTAATTGTACTTGTTTATATAACTGTATGTTACAAAGCCACTTGGATATAATACCTGATAAGAAAAGATATTTAAAAAACCCACATCCCAGAATTGTATTGCTGTTTTATTTTCCCTGCCAGTATTAAGGAATCATTCAATTTTATCTGTATTAATATCGGAAAAAAATCTCACAATTTTGCTTAATGACGCTAAGCACAAAAGAAACAATGACAGTAGAAGTGATTCCTATAGCTACTGTCAAATTACAATTTCCAGTTGCATGCCCAATATTGGCTGGGAATTCTGAGCAATGTAGTCCAAACACATTTAAGTAACTCAAACCTTGACTAGACAGAATTAAAACCCAATTTACATATTAGTAACACCACAAGAACACATTTAATGACTGCTTCACTTGGAAGTCAACATGTAAACACCTGCACTCAGCTCAATAGTATGTGTAAGGGAAGCCTAATGAACAAATTGGCCAATGGTTATTAAAAATGAAATTTTTTCTCTTTTAGACATGTGTTGAAACGACTTTGTACAGTCATTACAAATCTCATAAATTATGAATGGCTCAGATATGTAGGGACCAAGTGAGTTCCTTTCTAATTAGGCATCAGATAAATGTGAATAAGAGCTATGAGTTGTGGTCTGAATAATGTTCACCAATGGTTGCTGGAAACTTCATATACATAAACAGCCCTTAATAAATGTTTTAGATGATGGGAGTCCAACCTTTTGGCTTGCTTGAGCCACACTGAATGTAGAGGAATGTCTTGGGCTACAAATAAAATATATAATACGTATACGTATATACATAAGTATATGTATATAAATCACATAATAATGTTAAAAATTTATGAGTTTGTGGGACCACATTACTAGCTGATCAGGACCACAGGGGGTCTATGGGCTGTATGTTGGACACACCTACTTTAGATGGAAGACTGTATGTTTTAATATAAGTCTTTATTTTAAATATAAGTATTTCCCCTGCCTCTCCCCCCTAAAAATCAGATACTTAAACACATTGCAATACAGGTATGCCTCAACCATTTGTATAGCAATTGTTCAAAGTTATGATGGTGCTGAAAACAATGAGTTTTGACCAGTTCTCATACCTAGACTGTCATAGTATCCCACAATCATATGATCACAATTTAGGATCTTAGCAACTGGCATGTATTTGCAACAGTTGCAGGTTCCTGTGATCACCATTTGCAACCTTCCTGACAGCTTCCAACAAGCAAAGTTAATGGAGGAAGCTGGATTCATTTAGTGAGTGTGGTGATTCACTTAATGACTGTGATGATTCATTGACTGACTGTGGCAAAAAAGGTTATAAAATTAGGCATGGGTGTAGTCACGTGATGACTCACTTAACAACTGATCACTTGGTGAGGGAAGTTCCCACTCCAATTCTGGTCATAATTCAAGTAACAAGTTGAAGCAAAGTTGTTCGAGTTTTGCAGCCTGTGACGTTTACTAGGAAGTAACCAAATCAGAAAGACACATATGGGCCCTACATATAAAAATGCTTAGTTTCAGGAGAAAATGTTTCTGAAAAAAAGCATGAATAATATGCATAGCATGTTAATTTTTTTCAAAAATTAAGTCTCTGAAAAAAAAATTATACAGAAAATAATGAATTTATCTACCCTTACTTGAAAATCTCAAGAAACTGTTAAAAAAATAAGAGTTATATTTTTAGGAAAAAATACCATATATTTATTGGCCTGATAAATGTGTGTTCAGTATGTTGCTTCCTAAATTATTTTTTGGGAAGCTTACAAATACACTGGGGAAAAAATCTTAAATCAGAACTGTTTTAATCCTAGTAGAGGAATATGTTTTTTAAAAATTACTTTTTACAGTTACATATATAAAATCATCATCATTTTAGCCATTGTCTATCCACTGTAGGATGAAGGCCTCTTTCACATTAATAATAATAATAATAATAATAATAATAATAATAATAATAATAATAATAATAATAATAATAATAATAATAATAATAATAATAATAATAATAATAATAATAATAAAGTTGGAAGGGACCTTGGAGTTCATCGAGTCCAACCCCCTGCTCAGGCAGGAAACCCTATACCATTTCAGACAAATGGCTGTCCAATCTTTTCTTAAAAACTTCCATTGAAGCATTCACCACTTCTGGAGGCAGGTTGTTCCATTGGTTAATTGTTCTGTCAGGAAGTTTCTCCTTAGTTCTAGGTTGCTTCTCTCCTTGATTAGTTTCCATCCGTTGCTTCTTGTCCTGCCTTAGGCGCTTTGGAGAATAGCTTGACTCCCTCTTCTTTGTGGCAGCCCCTGAGATATTGGAACACTGCTATCATGTCCCCCCTCGTCCTTCTCTTCGTTAAACTAGACATATGAGAATATAGATGTAAAATAGATGTTGAGACTCTAGAAAGAGTACAGAGAAGAGCAACAAAGATGATTAGGGGACTGGAGGCTAAAACATATAAGGAAAGGTTGCTGGAATTGGGTATGTCTAGTTTAACGAAGAGAAGGACAAGGGGGGACATGATAGCAGTGTTCCAATATCTCAGGGGCTGCCACAGTCCTGGTGGTGATGCTGTCTAACCCACATTTTTCTATCTTATCGAGTAGTAGGTTGTGATCTACTTTATCAAATGCCTTACTGAAGTCCAAGTAAATTATATCCACAGCATTCCTCTGATCCACTAATTTTGTCACTTGGTCAAAGAATGTTTCCAACCAATACGGTCCTGAGCTTTCTTTTGCAAATTGGGTCCATAATACTTGCTGCTATATGTGTGTGTGTGTGTGTGTGTGTAATTATTTTTCATGTGATAAAGCTATATCTTTTTGTCATAAAATATTTGGGGAGATAAGTAACATCAATAAAGAATTAAATGCTTCCCAGAGGTGGGCTTACAACATTTGTTTACAGGACCAAATATCAAGCTTAAAAATAAAGAACTTATTATCCATTTAATTTTAGTAGCCAAAATAATTACACAACACTGAAAAACATTAGATAACATAATGTTAGAGATGTGGATTAACAAAATCTCTTCAATTGCCACATTTAAAAAATATCACAGATAAAGTTAAAATAAAGGAAGATCCTTAATTTAATCACATTTGGATGATTTATGATTTATCTCAAAAGCAATGAACTGTAATATGGTCTATTTTACATACATAGTAAACTTGTACGTTATATTCAATATAGTACATTTTTCTATTTTCTACATCCTTTTTTCCCTTACATGTACATCTTGGATTTATGTTAATATTGTTTGTTACCTAATATTGTTAATTATATGAGGGGAATTCGGAAATAAACCTCTGTTTGGTTATCAATGATAGACACTCGCAGATACAGAACTTTTATTATACACTTTAGAAAACTACAAAATTACATTACTTTTTGACATCGCCATTCAAATTGAGGCACTTGTCATAACGTCTTGCAAGGTTTGAAATTCCTTAGTAATAGTCGCTTGGCGTCAAATCTGGGCTATGGGGGGTGTGTGATCAAAAACATCCCAACTGCTTCAAAAGTTCTTCGGTGCATCTAGCGATGTGCAGGCAAGCATTATCGTGAACCAACACCACACCGGAAGTCGGCATGCCCCACGCTTGTTATGGATGGCTTGGCTGAGTTTTCGTAACGTTTCACAGTAGACTTCTGAATTGATGGTTGAACCATGCTCCATGAACTTCACTAGCAGTACTCCTTTAGCATCTTCACATTTGGCGGGATTTTCTATGGCACCACTTCCGGTGTGGTGTTGGTTCACGATAATGCTTGCCCACACACAGCTAGACGCACCCAAGAACTTTTGAAGCAGTTCCATTGGGATGTTTTTGATCACACCCCATAGAACCAGAATTGGTGCCGAGTGACTACTACTAAGGAATTTCAAACCTTGTAAGATGTTATGACAAGTGCCTCAATTTGAATGGCAATTATGTCAAAAAGTAATGTAATGTAGTTTTCTAATGTATATAATAAAAGTTCTGTATCTGCGAGTGTCTGTCATTGATAACCAAACGGAGGTTTATTTCTGAATTGCCCTCATAGTTCAATAAAAACCATAGGGGAAAAATCATCAGAATTTCCAACATCAAATGAAATATTACAGGAAATCAAAGACAAAAAAGTAATGCTTTCCCCCCTTCTTTTCCCTTTATTTCAAAATTGCTAACCTAAATATTTGTACTTTGCACTGAACATTGAGTTTATTGCTATGTCTCCTTGTTTTATCTGTTGTTTTTCATTGGTCTCAAAAACTTATTTAGAAACTATATTCCAAATGTCTTAATTTCTCTTGCTATGTATAAGGGAGCCATTCCTGCTTAAATTTAGCATTATGTCTATTATGGATATGTATTGTCAATTTTGCCACTGCTGCATATTCTCCAATTTTGGTCTCTTGGTCTTGTATCACTGGTGGTTTCCCTTTCCCACTGTTATGCTAAATATGTTCTGGCAGGTATCAGCATGCATCTTAATAAACTGTGGTATTTTTGACTTATATTTTCTGGACTTATACGTAACAGAAATATTTGCAGCTTCAATTCCAAATTTATTTTGTTAAATTCTACTTTTAATTATCTTAATTTAGAACCAAATAAATCCATTTAAGATACAACAAAAGCCAAATGGCTCTTCAAGTGACAAATAAAAACATTGTCAATTAACATTAAAACAAGGCCTACAGTATCTATACAAGCCAGAATTCTCTTACTTAAAATCCATGTACAATCACCCTTACCTTCATTAGGAGAAGTTTTCAATCTTGTACAGATTCCATATACATCTCCATAGCATTCTTGTATTTTATGCAAAGCATCAGCAGCTCGCAGTTCCATAAGTGTACGAAGCTCTTCAAGTGTAATACCAAAATCTCCATGATTAGAATCTTTTATAGCATATTTTACACCACCATATGCCACTGAGTTGTTGGCCATGTCTCCCATGGTGTATAGTTTTCAAAAGTAAAAAGTTTCCAACAAGAAACAATTTTGTATTTTGAGTATATCCAAAAGAAAAATAAATCCTTTGTATGTAAAAATCATAAAAGATACAGATATAAATCAACTCAAAATAGCCATAAGACACCTTGTCCAGGAGTGTTATCTTGAGTGTATTCCCATTGTCTGTTCCTTCATTCCACTTCTAGCGAAAGATAAATACTATCTGCAAAGAAAAGAGAGTTGACAGCAATAAGATGCAATATTTTCACAAGCAGTTCATTCACTAACACTGTATTGTTATACTTGAGATTCATAATCTCAAGTATATTGTTATTGTAAGTGATATGCAAATATGTTTGTGCTTATCTTTCCCACATCCCTCTGTGCCTAAGTCTTTATATTTTTCAATATTAATATCACAGTAGTCTCATTTTTTCCTTTCCCCTTTATATCAGCTCTCTTCTCTGTCCTTTCTCACTTGATGAACCAACTACACTGTACTCTTTCCTTAATCTGTCCTTATATCTTCCTTGATTTCTCCTTTCTTCCATCAATTTGCTTCTAGTACCTTCTCTACAGCATTGAACCCATATTACAGTATCCCCATACTGTATTTTAATGCTTCCATTAATTCATTACTAATTGCCCTTTTGTTCATCTTTCGGTTTAAAGTGACTTTAGTGAGCTTCCATAAATGAACTTAATTCCCTTTTCAGCCTAATTTTTGCATTCCATGAAAAGATTTCCTTAAAAAAATGACTGACATTACCAATTCAACATCAGAACTAAAATCAGACTACAGGTAGTCCTCAAGTTACAACCATTTGTTCAGTGATCATTCAAAGTCATGACAGATGCTAAAGCAACTTACAACTGTTCCCTTTGCAGCCACTCCACAGTCATGGGATTGTGATCCGGGCACTTGGCAATCTATTCACACTTGCCCCTGGTTGCCAAATGCTCTGTGATCATGTAATTATGATTTGCAATCTTCCCCATGATCATGTGAGCACCATTTGCAATTTTACCTGCCAATTCTCTCAATGGGGAAGCCGACAGGGAAGGTCGCAAGCATTGTAGCCTACAAAGAAAATTCTGTCTAGTCTCCAGGAACTGGTTAAAAAAGGTGCATAGCAGAATCCAAGCAGGATTTTCAGTACCACAGCAGAGCAGGGGATGAAAATTCCCCCTGCTGAAATTCAAGCAGGACAGCACAGGCCTCATATGAGGTAGGAGTGCTGCAAACAAGTCTCTCCACTCTGAGGCTGAAAATTCTGCTAGGATTTTGGTGCCTCTGTCTGCTTAACAACCCACAAGATTATTTAATAACCTCAACTGGGTGGGCTAGGATTGCAGTCGTTGGGTAAAGCTATGACATCTTGCTTGCCTACAGCTTCACTCAATGACCAAGATTAAGATCCCAACGGTATTGTACGTTGTGAGCTACAATCTGGCCAAGAACCACCTGATCTTACAAATAGCTTAGAAATTTTATATAAAAAGAAAACAAGAAAATCAATTTTATACACAAGAGGTAAAAAACGAGGCTGTTCTGGAGTAAATCTCCATGGTAACAACTTTACAGTAGTTGATCAATTGCTTGGTTTGAGAAATACAAAAACCTAGGAACACCTTAAGTGGGATAGAACTTTATAAAGTCTAAGCTAGAAAGAGATTAGAGAGAGCACATTGTTATTCTCTGTCCACAACAATGTGAAATCACAGCAGCCAGTTATTTAGCTGGTGTTGGCCTTCATATGGATCACATTTTTCCCAAGAACCTAAAATGTCATAATGTGTAGATGTAGAGATCCAAGTAACGTGGCCTTTTGCAATTGACAGATGGAAATTTTATCAATTGATTATGATTTATTCCAAGCTACCTTTCTAAGTATGTTTTTGATTGACTCGTTACAGCTTTTAGTGAACATAACTAATATTTATAAAAGATAATTTAAGATGATCCAATAAAGTTTTAAATTAAATGGAGATGTGTAATTTTATGATAAGCAGTTCAGAAACAAACATAATTATTTAAATATTCTTATCAAATAAGTTTCTAATATTAACCTTCATTATAGTTGCTATTAGAAAATGTATACATGACACACTCACACACACAGAGGTAACATTTATTATAAATTGCTTCAATTATACAAATGTGCAACAAAATAAAGTGGAGAAGAGCTGCTCATGCTTGTGAAATTTTCCAAATGTTCAAGCATATCTGCACCTGTGAAAATTACCAGCTTACAAACCCATTTCCTAGTTAATGATTATGCCAGAAAAGAAAACATTTTTTGTGGCAGAGGGAGGGAAATTCAACAAGAACTGCAAACTCCAAATGGCAATTTAGATCAAGGTAACTTACATCAGGTATTTAAATAAGCCATAAGATAGCTGCATAAATTAAGTTTCCCACTGATACTTACTGCCCAAGCATGCTTCCTTATCTAATAATTAACTCATGTTAATTTACAGCAACAGAGCTTATTTATGTAACATCATTCTTAGAAACACTCAAATAGGTATAATTCTAGTTTAGTTTTTGGCTTACTCTTTTATTTGAACCTTAAAGAACTAATCTCTTTTTTCTTCCACTTATGTTCCTAATATATCTTGTCCTTTTACTTTAAGTGGCTGATAGACTGATCCATCTCCCTCAAATTCACATGAATCACAATAATTACCCAGAAAGTGGAATAAAAGTATAAAGTATGATCAGCTGCATAATAATTGGAGTGATAATACTGATCTTTCTACTGCATTTCATAAAATTAAAGCTGTATGACATATTCCCTTCTTTGCCAATTTCTTTTTTTCTTACCTTTAATTGTCTGTGGAGATTCTCAGTCATCCATGTCGTGCTTGTCCCAAAGATGCTTTTTCATGAGGCAACTGGATTTTCTTCTTCTTTGAAGACGTTTTGCTTCTCATCCAAGAAACTTTTTCAGTTCTGACCATTCAGCTCTTCAGCCATTCCCACCATCCAATCAGAGCTGAAGAAGCTTCTTGGATGAGAAGTGAAACATTTTCAAAGAAAAACAAGAAAGTCCAGTTGCCTCCTGACTTACCTTTAATTCTATTCTTAACTAATTCTTCTATTTTTACAATGTTTTCACTTAAACTTAAGTGTATTCCTCTGCTTGTTTGTTATTGCTAGTTTTAAATATAAGGTTAAGCCTTCAGGTGATTGCTTGATTTTAGCTTAACATGTTATATGAATCTAATCACTGGTCTCTGTAAATAACAGCTTATGAATTCATACAATAAATGCCTCCAGCTTCAATGTAAGTGCATACACTGGTGTTTCATCAGCAATAAGTTCATAGTCCTCAGATCTTCTTTAGATAGTTCCTCTGAGAATCTCAACAAACACATTAGCTTTTGCTAAAGACGTCAGCTTTATTTTTTCTATTATGACTTTCAGTCTTGCACTCTGTTTCCTTGATGGACAGAAAACAGGTGAAGTTTTACACCCAATAGTTGAAAAGCTTTCCAGGAGTATGTCATGAATTGCGTGTCTGTCAAAAATCAAGTGATTACGCTAAGTATAATTCCAGAAAGCATTTGACAGAATATATGAGATTTCCTAGGACCAGAGGAAAGACCCCAACAAGGCATGAAATAAACTGTAATAGATTAATTGTCACCATAATCCCATCAGCAAATTAGTTATAAAGTCCAAGGAAGCTGCACTATGTGCTTTGCTAATCACAGAATTAGCTTGGGAACATGTAGCAAGAAGAGATGTAGTCCATGACATCGATTTTAATATGACACCATCAAAAATCATGGAGGAGAGAGGTCATTTAAAATATTCTAAATTGCCCAGCTGCCGGGTAAAGAAATATTTTTCCCAATGAAAAAAGGACATATAAACGGCTGTGTGAAGCCATTCCCAAGAAAAGGAAGGAAAGACATAGGGTCTACCTAATAATAATAATAATAATAATAATTTAATTTATATACCGCCCTTCTCCCGTAGGACTCAGGGCGGTGCACAGCATATTAAAACAGATACAAACAAAATACATCAAAAAACAAAAAACACCCATAAAACCAAATTAAAAGCCAAATATTGGAAGCTGTGTGTCAATTAAAATTTTCTTAAAATCATCCCTACCTAAAATCCTCCCTAGGTCAGGCCCGCTTGCTGGAAAAGCCATGTCTTGAGGGCGCGGCGGAAAGTAAGGAGATCCGGAATCATCCGGATCTCGGGGGGTAGTTCGTTCCAGAGGGTGGGGGCAC